ACTCTCCTCTTTCACTTTCATCAAGAAACTCTTTAGTTCTTCTTCACTTTCTGCCATAAGGGTGGTGTCATCTGCATATCTGAGGTTATGGATATTTCTCCTGGCAATCTTGATTCCAGCTTGTGCTTCAACCAGCCCAGCATTTCTCATGATGTACTCTGCATATAAGTTGAATAAGCAGGGTGACAATATACAGTCTTGACATACTCCTTTCCTGATTTGGAACCAGTCTGTTCCATGTCCAGTTCTAACTGTTGCTTCCTGACCTGCATTCAGATTTCTCAAGAGGCAGGTCAGGTGGTCTGGTATTCCCATCTCTTGAAGAATTTTCCAGTTTCTTGTGACCCACACAATGAAAGACTTTGGCATAGTAAAAAAAGCAGAAGTAGATGTTTTTCTGGAACTCTCTCACTTTTTCGATGATCCAGTGAAAGTTGGCAATTTGATCTCTGGTTCCTCTGCCTTTTCTGAAACCAGCTTGAACATCTGGAAGTTCACGTATTGTTGAAGCCTGGCTTGGAGAATTTTGAGCATTACTTTACTAGCGTGTGAGATGAGTGCAATTGTGTGGTAGGTTGGGCATTCTTTGATTGCCTTTTTTGGGATTGGAATGAAAACTAATCTTTTCCAATCCTGTGGCCACTGCTGAGTTTTCCACATTTGCTGGCCTTTTGAGTGCAGCACTTTCACAGCATCATCTTTGAGGATTTGAAATAGCTCAACTGGAATTCCATCTCCTCCACTAGCTTTGTTCAGAATGATGCTTCCAAAAGCCCACTTGACTTCACATTCCAGTATATCTGGCTCTAGGTGAGTGATCACACCATCATGATTATCTGGGTCATGAAGATCTTTTCTGTACAGTTCTTCTGTGTATTCTTGCCACCTCTTCTTAATACCTTCTGCTTCTGTTAGGTCCATACCATTTCTGTCTTTTATTGAGCCCATCTTTGCATGAAATGTTCCCTTGGTATCTCTAATTTTCTTGAAGAGATCTCTAGTCTTTCCTAATCTATTGTTTTCCTCTATTTCTTTGCATTGATCATTGAGGAAGGCTTTCTTATCTCTCCTTGCTATTCTTTGGAACTCTGCATTCAAATGGGGATATCTTTCCTTTTCTCCTTTGCTTTCTGCTTCTCTTCTTTTCAGAGCTTTTTGTAAGGCCTCTTCAGACAGCCTTTTTTTTTTTCATTTTTTTTTTAGGGATGGTCTTGCTCCTTATCTCCTGTACAGTGTCAGGACCCTCTGTCCATAGTTCATCAGGCACTCTGTCTATCAGATCTAGTCCCTTAAGTCTATTTTTTACTTCCGCTGTATAATTGTTAGAAGTTAGAAATTCTTATATAGTAAAAATAGCACTGCTTTTGTTTAGCCACTAAATTCTAACTCTACTGCAACCCCATGGACCACAGCCTGCCAGGCTCCTGTGTGCACGGGATTTCTCAGGCAAGAATACTGGAGTGGGTTGCCATTTCCTACTCCAGGGGATCTTTCCAACTCAGGGATTGAACTCTTGTCTCCTGCATGGCAGGTGGATTCTTTTTTTTTTTTTTTTTTAACCACTGAGCCACCAAGGAACCCCAACAATGTCATGCAGTGTGGCATATACATACACAAATGTTAGGGAACTATGTATCTTCCAGGTCAAAGATTTGTATAACAAAGCCACAACAGGAGAATTATTAGATCAAAAATTAGCAAGTGAACAGCATGAGTTCAGCTGTATGAGGTACTCCACAAACTTCAAAAAAAAGTTAAAGATCATTTGGACCCCTATGACACCCAGGAGTTTTTCACTAGTTAAAGCTGATCATCCAAAAAAAAAAAAAAAGACTTGTTTATTAGGAGTTGGTGATGATAGTGGCATATGAAAAGAATACAATCTCAATAAAATAGCAACAGATAGAATTCAAAAATATATAAAAGGGATAATTTATCATAAGTGAGTAGCATGTATCCCATGGAGGTATTATTGGTTTAGCACTGATTCAGGGCAGTCTGCCCAAGATGTGCCGCCCTGGAATGCTGGAAAGACCCAGAAAGAATCTTTGAACTTCCCCCCACTTATTAACTGAAAGAATTTAAGACATAAGCCCTGTTTGAGGAAGGAGCTCACACCATAAATAGCACAGTGAAATATGAACTAGGCGTGGTAGACTAGGAGGAACTTTCCAAGCTGGTTAGATCAAAGTATGATCTATGTTCTATTGTCTCTAGATGGCTTGGCAAACATTTGCTCATGAAACATTAATTCTTTTCATCCTGCTGTGAATACCTTACTTCCCTTTGAAGCCCAGACCCCACCTTCTTGTTCCAGGCAACAATACTGAAGTGTGTTGCCATTTAATTACACATCAATTTAAAAACTTGACTCAGGGGAGAACACATTAAGAAGGTCTAGAAATGGATGGGCAACTTTTATTTAATGAATGGAGCATCAGTGAGCATAAGATAAAAATTAATTGCATTTGTCTATGACAAATAATTCTTACAGACCATCTTGATGATGATGCAGTGTCACTTCAGTCATGTCTGACTCTTTGCAACCCTATGGACTGTTGCCCACCAGGCTTCTCTGTCCATGGGATTTCCCAGGCAAGAATACTGAGTGTGCTGCCATTTTCTCCTCTAGGGGATCTTCCCAACCCAGGGATGGAACCCACATCTCTTAGTCTCCTGCATTGGCAGGCAGGTTCGTTAGTACTATAGCCGCCTGGGAAGTCCACGGACCATCTTATCTACTTAACTGTACAAGCCCTGGCCAATATTAAGAATAGCTGGTATTTGCTGAGAATACAATGATTTGGAACACAGAGCAGAAATATGGAAATCTGCTAGATAGTAAGTGAAAGCTGTCTTAGAAGTGAATCTGATGAAAGATAATCCACAATAAAACAATCTGTTTAGCATACAACAAAAAAATAGATCCCTAGGGTACTTGGATTTTAATAATTCTGACTCTCTCACCCTTCTAGCTTGGACATTCTGCAAAATATACTCTTCAATACAGTTCATTAAGTACCTAGTACCGAAGGAACAGTGGATAAATACTCCATAAATTAAATTCTCTAGTACTTCTGCACTAAAGTGTTGTATGAGGCTAAAGAAGAGACCCCTAAATCAGCTTGAAGAATAAGACCAGATTCCCACGAATATGTCAAACTGGTGCTTGAGAGAATAAAGCTCTGGCGTGCTGCGACCAGGCCAGTGGACCAATCCTTCTCTTTGCCACCCTCACCAAAGGCTTGAGGTATTCAGTAATTGACAAATATTATTGTTTTTAGATTACGGTAACTGAAAATAGTAGGTTTTATTCAATTGTTTTAATTAAAACAATTAAAAATCAGTTATGATGCATTCATTCATTTTAAAAACCTTCACTGACAGCCTGCCATGTTCTGGCACTGTGCAAGGCAGTGAGGCTTCCATAGTAGAGAAGACGTGGTCCCTGTCGTCAAGAAAAGTGCAGTTTTCAACCCCTGGCTCCAGGCAGCTGGTGGAGCCCCAGAAAGTCAGCAGCTCTCAGACATCAAGTCGACCCAGGTTGCAGGAGGGGCATTTCCCGAAGGCTGCAGCCCCTAAGCCTCAAGTTTTTGTTTTTGTTTTTGTTTTTTAAATTCCCAAGGTACAAAAGCATTAGCGCCAAGCAGGAAGCAATTCTCACTCCAGCTGGGAAGTGGTGGCCTGCAGCCAACCTCGCCTCCTGCTGCCTTCGGTTCAGTAGCTCAGTCGTGTCGGACTCTTTGCGGCCCCACGGACTGCAACACAGCAGGCCTCCCTGTCCATCACCAACTCGCGGAGCTTGTTCAAACTCATGTCCATTGAGTCGGTGATGCCATCCAGCCATCTCATCCTGTCGTCCCCTTCTCCTCCTGCCTTCAATCTGTCCCAGCATCAGGGTCTTTTCAAATAGGTCAGTTCTTCCAGATCAGGTGGCCAAAGTATTGGAGCGTCAGCTTCAGCGTCACTCCTTCCAATGAATATTCAGGACTGATTTCCTTAGGATTGACTGATTTAATCTCCTTGCAGTCCAGAGGACTCTCAGGAGCCTTCTCCAACACCACAGTTCAAAAGCATCAATTCTTCGGTGCTCAACTTTCCTTATGGTCCAACTCTCACATCCATATATGATTACCAGAAAACTATAGGTTTGACTAGATGGATCTTTGTCGGTAAAGCATTGTCTCTGCTTTTAATATGCTGTCTAGGTTAGTCATAGCTTTTCTTCCAAGGAGTAAGCATCTTTTAATTTCATGGCTGCAGTCACCATCTGCAGTCATTTTGGAGCCCAAGAAAATAAAATCTCTCACTGCTTCCATTGTTTTCCCATCTATTTGCTATGAGGTAATGGGACCAGATACCATGATCTTAGTTTTCTGAATGCTGAGTTTTAAGCCAGTTTTTTCACTCTAATCGTTCACTTTCATCAAGAGGCTCTTTAGTTCTTCACTTTCTGCCTTGAGGGTGGTGCGATCTAAGGTTATAGATATTTCTCCCAGCAATCTTGATTCCAGCTTGTGCTTCAACCAGCGTGGTATTTCGCATGATTACATGTAAGTTAAATAAGCAGAGTGACAATATACAGGCTTTGATGTATTCCTTTCCCAATTTGGAACCAGTCCATTGTTCCATGTCGGGTTCTGTTGCTTCTTGACCTGCATACAGATTTCTCAGGCTGCGGTGCCTCAGGCTGGAGGTTTCACTTGGGGGCGCTCGCATCTGGCTCGTGGATCGCGCTTCTCCACAGGCGGAACCCTCTGGCTGGGTCTCTTGTTTCTGTGAGTTCCGTAGTCCGCGCACACCTAGCGCTCCAGGCTTCCGTGCGGGTTCCGGCTGATGGCTGGGCCCCGGAGGGGACAGTGCCGGCCCGGCGCCCGAGGAAGAAGTTGAGTCAGGCGACTTGAAATTACCTGCAGGCGTCTCCGGCCTTCTGCCCATCCATTGCCGGAGTTCGGGCTTCACCCGTGCCGCGCTCCTGGCGTCCACGGAAGGCGAGGGTGATGGTCCAGATGGAGACGCAACTGCAGAGCATTTTTGAGGAGGTGGTGGTGAGTGGAACTTGCCAGGGATCCTGGGCGATGGCTGGGTGAGGGGGTGGCTCGGGGACAGCGGCTCAAGAAATCTGGCCCGCGCAACCTCTCCCCACCTCTTCCTTGTTGTGACATCGAGTGTGTGTGCAAGGGCTGAGCGATTCTCAAACTACTGTCAAATTCAGCCTCATTTGAAATCCACAACACCCTTTGTTACAGACCAAGAGGGTGGGTATTGTTTGTTTCTGCTCGTTGCTGATGAAGGTGATTTGCCCTATGTTGCACTGTATTATTTTGATCGGGAAGGCCCCTCTCCCTCCCTTAAAATAATAATAATTTTAAAAAATCATGTTGTTTACTATTTTTGTTTTTTAACAGAAAACGGAGATTATAGAAGAGGCTTTCCCTGGGTGAGTGTATACATGGCAGGTCTTTGTGTTTTTCCCTAATTGCAAGATTTTCTTTAGATCTGTCTTGGAGGTTTATAAGATCTACTATTCTGTTTATGTTGAATTACCTTTTTAAAACTAGTGGCAAATAATTCGATTTTTGTTTTTTTAGCATGTTTATGGACACCCCTGAAGATGAAAAAACAAAACTTATTAGCTGTTTAGGGGCCTTCAGACAGTTTTGGGCTGGTCTTTCTCAGGTGAGCACTGCATTTTTAATACACTCAGCTGATGATTCTTGGCCCTTTATTTTTTTATACTTACTTTGATGTTGCTGTTAAGATTTTTCTGGAAAAGGAGAAATAAAATTGTCATCATCTTTTATTTGTCTATTCTGGCTTCCGTTTTGTTTCAACTTGTTTTCTCCCAGTAGAGAATCTGTATTGAAAAATCAAGTTGACCATAGCACAGTGTGAATTGTTTTTATAAATCTCTCCCAAGTTAGATTGTATAAAACCATTTTCACTCATTTACTCAGCAAAGGAACTGGTCCAGCATTGATACAAAGATATTATAAGAAAGTACTATAGCAAAGATACAAAGATGCCACAGTAAGGGTCCAAAGATACTTAAACAAAATTGAGGCAAGTACAGTAAAACTTAATAATAAAGAGCATTCACCAGAAGTTGCAGCCTTGTAAAAGATAAAATGTTTGAACCTTAAAGAGCTCATGATCCAGTAGTGCATTACCTTCTTATGATGCCTTATAAATAGGAAAATGAGAAGTTTACAGTTGAGCCGCTAGTGATTAAGACTCACTACTCAGAAATGAATTGCCTAGTTGCAGTACATTCGTTCTCTTACATTTCTTCTACTTGTGATTATTTTTTAATATATTTGTATGGTACAGAATGCAGAGGGGTACCAGAAGTTCCACCCAATGGGTAATCTGCCTTCTGCTTCTCTTAGCTTAGTCATTTGTTTCCTTTTCTGTCTGCAATCAGTGTTTCCAGTTTGTTTCTTTCTAGAATGTTTAATGCATAGAATCATTGTTATAGAATGTCTGTATGCCATGTACAGTACTCATTAGCACCTTGCTTTTTCCCTCTTAAATTCTCAAATTGATGTAATTTTATATCAATCCATTTCAAGTTACTTCTGCCCTCTTTCTTTGTTATAGTAGCATTATATCCTGTTATATGGCTGCACCATCGTTTGTTTAACCAGTCTCCCGCCATCTGATAGGTTGCTTCTTACCTTTTTCTCTTTAAATGATACTATAATGAATAGTTTTAGGCAGGGGACACAGAATATATTATTTCTGGGTCAGAGGATATTTCTATGTGTAGTTTTTATAAAAATAATCTATTAGCTTCCATAAGGGTTTTACCAATTTATCCTCCCACTAGCAATATATGAGTGGGGTATATATTGCTATTCCATCAAGCCTCACAGTAGCATGTTAATGAGCTTTTTGATATTTACCAGTCTAAAGCATGAGAAATTTTATCTCAGTGTAGTTTTATGTTGCATTTCTGTGAGTGATATTGAACATCTTACATCTTTCTAACATACTTTAATGTTTTAATAATTGATTAAACAATTTATGAGTTAAGATAAAACCCTTGTCTTTAAGAATTTTGGATTCTAATGGAGGATCCAGGAAGAAAATAAGTATTTCTAAACCAGCAGTGGTTTTTTTTTTTTTCCATTTATTTTTATTAGTTGGAGGCTAATTACTTTACAGTGTTGTAGTGGTTTTTGTCATACATTGACATGAATCAGCCATGGATTTACATGTATTCCCCATCCCGATCCCCCCTCCCACCTCCCTCTCCACCCGATTCCTCTGGGTCTTCCCAGTGCACCAGGCCCGAGCACTTGTCTCATGCATCCAACCTGGGCTGGTGATCTGTTTATCCAGTACTGTTTATTCAGCAATAGAAATGTGTGTGAGGGACAGTGATAGCACAGCAGGACATCTTGAGGATATTCTGGAATGTAATCTTTGATTTGGGCACCACATTTTGGTACCAGATTTGAAGTTCTGGAAGTCTGGAAATTGGATATGTCATTAGTTCATGACTGATTTGGCTCTTAGGGATTAGAGTCACTAAACTCTCATGAGGCTGCTGTAGTTCATAGTGGGTTTCTCCCCCAGTGACGGATATTTATGTCTGCCAGTAAGGGCACTGCTCTCAGCGCCTTACACAATCTTGGCTAGACTTCTTTGTTGATCATGAATATGTTCATAAACTCATACTGGTTTTGGAGGTCCCATGTAGTAAATATGGTGGAAGTTTTAATCTATATAATTGTGTGATTTTAAGCTTAATATAACTCAACTACTACATCTGAATATTTTCAGTCATTTTTAAATTGTTTTCATCCATTAATTTATAATGAAGTCTCTCACTCATAGTCTTCATATATACTCCCAGATACTGTTAGCTGTTTGTTATTTATAAAATATAGTGTAGACCTAAAATGTGATCATTTTCTGATTTTCTAGGAATCTCATGAACAGTGCATCCAGTGGATTGTTAAATTCATTCATGGCCAGCATAGTCCTAAAAGAATTTCTTTTCTTTATGACTGCTTAGCAATGGCAGTTGAGACTGGTCTCCTTCCACCCAGGTATGGTTAATGATGAGTATGAGCAGTTGAAAAAATTTTTTTTATTAATGTTTAGAAATTGGTTGAGGTGATTGTTGTAAAAGGATAAGAGAATAAAGAAGGCAGTTACGGTCAGCAAAAAGTGCTTCATAGTATCTCAGTTTTAATTTCGAGGATGCAGTATTCTTGAAATTGTATACTTCAGGTGCTCAAAACCAGGCCAGCTTTGCCTTTTATCCCAGGGATTAAAATCACTCACTTTGACAAGCTTTTCCAGGTCGTGTTTCTTGTATTTGTTATAGTCACTGATCTGTTTGTTGAATTTTTTAGATTCCACATATAAGTGATGTCATGCAGTATTTGTCTTTCTGTGTCTGACTTATTTCACTTAGCATAATACTCTTCCAGTCTGTCCATGTTATTGCAAATGGAAAAACTTCATTCTTTTTTTGTGGATAAGGAGTAGTTCACTGTGTGTGTGTGAGTGTGTGTGTGTGAGTGAGTGAGTGAGTGAGAGAGACATCTTTATCCATTCATCTACTGAGAGACACTTAGGTTGCCTTCTTATCTTGGCAATAATAAATAGTGCTGCTATGACCATTGGGATGTGTGTATCTTTTCAGATTAGTGGCTTTATATTTTTTGCTTATGTACCCAGGAGTGAAATTCCTGGGTCAGTTCCAGTTAACTCTTGCTGCATGGTGAATTGCCTCAGTACTTCATGGCTTAAAACAGTAATAATCCTTTTATTAATAACATTCAGGATTACAGTGCTTGCTTGGACAAGGAGTAGGTAGGATTTTCTCAGGTTTTGTGTTTGCAATTGGATGGTGGCTATGACTGGAGTCATGACAGAGATATTCCCATTCATGTGCCTGACTGTCACCTGAGGGACATCGGCTAGCACTGTTGGCCGGAACCTACATATGCCTTCTCTGTGTGACCTTGGCTTTCTTGCAAGGTCATGGAGTCCAGGAACAAGCATTCATAAGAGGGCTCGGCAGAAGCCGTATCACCTTGCCTTGAAAGCCTTTCACTTGCCAGTCTTGGACCTGCCCAAACTGAGGGATAGATTTTTTTTCTACCCTTTGACACTGATACTTTTCCTGGGAGGAGCATCAATATCACATTTTAGAAGAGCATGTGGGGTCAAAAGTCTTATTGCAGCCATCTTGGAAAAACAGTTTGCCACTAATTGGTTAATGGCACATTTAACCAATAGCTTTTGGTACATTTCTTTCTAGCAAAAATATAACGTAATTAATATTACTTAGTTCTACTTTGGAGAAGGCAATGGCACCCCACTCCAGTACTCTTGCCTGGGAAATCCCATGGATGGAGAAGCCTGGTAGGCTGCAGTCCATGGGGTCGCTAAGAGTCAGACACGACTGAGCGACTTCCCTTTCACTTTTCACTTTCATGCATTGGAGAAGGAAATGGCAACCCACTCCAGTGTTCTTGCCTGGAGAATCCCAGGGACGGGGGAGCCTGGTGGGCTGCCATCTCTGGGGTTGCAGAGAGTCAGACATGACTGAAGTGACTTAGCCGCAGCAGCAGCAGTTCTACATTAGGACTTCCCTGGTGGCTCAAGATGGTAAGGAGTCTGCTTTGGGTTTAGTTCTACTTTGGGTTTAGTCTTTCATATAAGTAAAAAATATAAAATGCTTTATGTAATTTTTTGAAAGTGTGCTTGAGTAATGTACCTTTATGACAATTATTAACACTTACTATGACAAATACAATATGCAAAGTTTGTGGACCTTGGCTATTAGAGAACTTACAGAAATTCTGTCTTGTAACTGGAATGGGTATTCGTTTTTTCTAGGATGGTTTGTGAATCCCTGATAAACTCCGACACACTTGAATGGGAAAGAACGCAGCTCTGGGCCTTAACATTTAAACTGGTTCGGAAAATAATCGGAGGGGTGGATTACAAGGTATTTTTTTTTCCGGTTGTAAAAAATAATCGCTGTCAGATATGATTAATTTTTCTGTGTATATTATTTTAATTTCACATAGGAGAAATGAAGTGGAAGCATTTGTAAAGTCTGTCTCTTTTTTGTTGTATTTCCCGAAGGAGTTTAAAATTGCTCAGTGTTTCCCACAGCTCTCTGCTCCTCTCCCAACATTCTTAGAAATGCAGGCAGACTCGGTTCTCTCACGCCACAGATCTTATGATGTTGGGGCCCCTTTCCAATGGAAGAGCATAGAGCAGGGAGGTGTGGAATTGAGAAGTGATGTAGGCTTCAGTGGACAAAGGGAGCCAATCCCGCTTCACCTTGGCCACCTTGGACACTGTCATTCCTTCACTGGTACCTTCAGCACTCTGCTCCTGACCAAAGCAACAGCCGACACTCTAGTTACGTCTCATAACACAGCTCAGGAGCTCCACCGCTGCAGAAGCTTCTGCTTCATACAAGCCACTTTCCTTATTGTCTCTTGAAAGACTTGCGGATACCTGACCCTGTGCCTTATATCTGTATTTTCACTGATCTCAAATGATTTAACTGATAATTATTGGCCAGAGTCATGATTTCATACAAAATTAGTTCTAAGAAGCCTTTTCTGATTATTTTCTATTTACGTGTACTCTTCACTTTCCTTAGCAGGTTAATATGTAGTTTTTACCTCCTTATTTGTATGGTGCTTCATAATTGTTTCTTTCATGTATATGTTCTGTCTGTCTTTTACAAGACTGATCACATAGTTTATACTATGGAATGAAATGTCTTCTCTGTGTATTAGATTCTGCTCTGAAATAATGCAACTGGTAACAGAGCTGAATAGATGACCAGTTAGCAGAATAGCCTTATTGGCTAAGTTTGAGAGGTTAAAGTATGTGATGCATGATGGGAAAGAGGGAATGAAATTAGAATATATACCAAAAGGAAGGTGCAGAAAAGGTTGTCTGCCAAAAAGTTGAATATTTATTGTCCATGTTTTTCAGTGTTTTCAAGTTCTTCCAAATATATTTTTGTCTGTTAAGCTCAAATTAAACTTTTTGGTCCCTCATGATAATAGAAACTTTTGTAATGTTACGAAAGGAAAGCTGAATGGAATGTGAAAAGTTGAATTTTTATCTATAAATGACTTCCTTTGTTCATTCATATGGCAAGCCATTCTTTAAAATTCTGCTTTGGAACATGATGCTTCTCTTGGGTTAATGTTAGGGGTTTGAATGTTAGCTTTGGTTCAGAAAAATTAAAAGTGTGACTTTGAGGGTTACGTATTTTTCCAAGTATATAATCTTGAAAGCTTTAGGCATTTTAACCAGCACCCCGGACTTTTAAAAAATTTAATCTATGACTTTTTGTTCTATCAGGGTGTTCGAGATCTCTTAAAAGTGATTTTGGAGAAAATCTTGACAATTCCCAATACAGTGAGCTCAGCTGTTGTACAGCAGCTTTTGGCAGCAAGAGAGGTAATTTAAACTTGTCTGCAATTCACTGATCATCTCCTAAAGATGTCTAGTTTTATATTTCTGTGCTTTTAAAATTTACAGTAGTTTGTAAAATGTTCCATTTCTTTACTTCCACAAAAATCATATTTTAAAGGTACTATTTCACTTCCACTGTATTTCAAAAGGAAATTTTCCATTTTAATTCATAGTTTTTAATTATGAAAACAACAATATTGATAGTATTGTATCTTTAACCGTTATGAGATGTCAGCCTATGGGCCACTTTAAAGGTCTTTGTGCTTTGTACTTAGTGTTGCAAGAACTGTTATTTTAGTCTGTTGCCTTCCTGTTGGTTTTAGTCACTCAGTCGTTTCCGACTCTTTTTGACCCCATGGACTATAGCCCACTAGGCTCCCCTGTCCATGGGATTCTCCAGGCAAGAATACTGGAGTGGGTTGCCATTCCCTTCTCCAGGGGATCTTCCCGACCCGGGGATCGAACTTTGGTCTCCTGCATTTTAGGCAGATTCTTTACCACCCGATCCAACAGGGATGTCTACCAATATTTAATGCATGTTCAGTGTTACTTACTATCAGGAATCTAGTCTGTTATTTACTATCAGCAATCATTGTATTAATCTTCATTTTTAGATATTCACATTTAAATGAATTTTTATGCTATATTTAAGTCAACTGAATCCATGAAATAATATCTTTACTTTTTAAATATCATTGTTGTTGGATTTAAATGGCACATCTGTGGGACTATTCAAAATAATAACATAGCCCTTTTATTTTTCCTAGGTTATAGCGTATATCTTGGAAAGAAATGCTTGTTTACTACCAGCATATTTTGCAGTCACAGAGATCAGGAAACTATATCCTGAGGGAAAACTTCCACATTGGGTAAATTTGATGGTTTTTTTTAAATTTTAATAGAAATTTGTATTAAAAATTATTATATTAATCTGATTTTTTATGTGCTCATTTTTTAATGGTCACTTTATCCTTAGATAATATGTGATTTTTTTTTTTATGATGCATTTCTTTGGTTTATCTGCTGTCCTGTTGAGATAGTTTATATATATTATTTCGTAAAATATACACAGCTTCATCAAATAGCTAAGGACATGGTGGTATGACCTGGCTTAATTCAGGGATAAATAAACTGGTAAGTAATTGTTTAGGAGGAAGTGAAAGAGAACTAGCCTTTGAGTAGTTTTATGTGCCAGGAATTGTACTAAATCTTTACATATTATCTTGTTTTGTGTAAATGATTCTTATATTCAGAGCAATCTTGATTTTATTTCTCCACTTACTTGTTTTCATTTTATTTTGTTTTAGTTACTTGGAAACCTGGTATCAGACTTTGTGGATACCTTCAGGCCAACAGCAAGGATAAACTCCATTTGTGGTAGGATTATAATTTAAAATATTCTAAATAGTACCTGATTTTTAGCGAGCTGACTACTGAACCAAGTTGACGGATGAAATCTTACACATGTCTTGGTGACTTGCCATCTTAATGTAACTCTAGGAGCGTATACTCTAGGAGCGTATATCTCTATAGCGTATACCTCTGCTCCCCAGGCACCTGGAAGTCTCAGCAGATCTGTCTCTCTGGCTCTAGTGCACCACATTGTCTGACTCCCAGCCCATTCCAGTTCACACCTTTGCTCTGTATATAATTTATTTTGTTTTCCACTTATTTCATGTTTATTAGAGTCTCTGAAATCCCTTTTAAAAATAAGCACATGATTTGCAGTTTTTACAATTCTCATATGTATATTCCTGAATTCTAGAAATCATGGTAGCCTGAGAACAGCCTGGGATTATAGACCCTTATTTAATCAGTGACCAAGTTTTCAGCACTTTCTGTGAGTCAGGTGCTATTCTGGGCACTGGAAATACAGAAAAGAAATGAAAAGGACACTAGACCGATAATTCTTAGGCTTTTAGCTTTCATAACTGAGTGGATATTGACATCATTTGATGAATTATGTAAAGTGGTGCAGATTTGAGAAGAGTGAGAATGAATTTAGTTTATGTTATACTGAACTTAAGGTGCTTGTAGGACATCCCAGTGACAACATTTATCAGGCATTTGGATACATGAACTGATTAATGGTCAAATACTACATCTAAGACCTCTAGGAACATCTTGTTTAAAGTTACTTAGTTTGACCCAAGATTAAAGGTCTGTAAACTTTTTCTATAAATGGTGATACAACAGATATTTTTGGCACTGTGGGCTGTGCATTCTTAGAGCTACTCAACTCTGCCCTTAGAATGCAGAAGGAATAGAGGTTCAGTGAAACTGAACGGGAGCAGGTGGATTTGGTTCATGGATTGTAGCTTGCTGAACTCTGTCCCTGGACAAATGCAACATTTGTGAGTTTGGAAGTCTTGTACAAATTGGTCTTTAACCACCTGGGCTAAAAATATTCAAAGAAAACTCCCAGACTTCTAGCTAATTAAAACATATTTTTAACCAGTGCTTGGTTCAGCATGATATTCATTAACTATTTGTAGTGTGAATGAAGGACTAGGCATTGGTATGTTCACATTTACTTATAAGCCTTTATTGTAATACCTACAGGCCGTTGCAGCCTTCTACCAGTTGTAAATAATTCGGGTGCCATTTGTAATTCATGGAAATTGGACCCTGCAACTCTCCGTTTTCCTTTGAAAGGCCTTTTGCCATATGATAAGGTATGTTGCTCAATGTGAAGGAGCTTTTGATCCTTCAGAGTCTTCATCCAAGATTATGTATTGTGTAATGCTAAATTGTCTCTTCATAGACTGAAAAAGTAAATATTCAATGAAAGATAGTTTATAACCATAAACCATGGTTTATGTCATGATTTCAGGATCCAAGTTTAGCCTGTGGTTTGTGATATTGCAGGTGTTTACATTCCAACGGTCCACTTCTGGCAAAGTACTTGGTGTTAGAAAACTGAATTTTTAAATAGATTCCTTGTTTTCACTTTTCCTTGAAAAGCAAGGACCAAAAGTGAATTTGCAGTGTCCTTAAAACTTGAAGAGTGAGCCTCCTTATTTGTTGCATTTTTTGTCAAAAGGGGAGAGGTGGGGAAGGACAAAAGTAGAGTAGAAATTTCTCAAGGAGAAAAATCCACATATATCCATAATATGAAATATGAGGTATAGACATAAAGTTTTGATGAAACACATATGGCAGATTTATCTTACTATCTTGGGGTTTGGCATGATGACAGAGCAGGTTATAGGGAGGGCCTGATAGTTTTCATGTAAATGTTTCATGTCAAAAATGATATAAAGAGTGATTGGGAAACTTATCCCAAAGTGAAGGAGGATAAAATAGTACAAATAAGGTGACAATCCACAGCTCTTGGGATATTAGTCAGCAAAACTTTGAAAGATGAAAAAGTGATAAACTACATGGAATTTACAATCATAGCAGTAATAAAAACAGGTAAACTTACTGTGTACTTCCTATATGCCAGGCACAGTTTTAAGAACTTTACTTCGTAACAGCTTTTATTCTTAACTATCATCTTAATATTTCCACTATCCAGGTGATGAAACTGAGACACAGAGTGGGGTGTTAGCTTTAGCAGACAGTATGGTCAGGATTTGAGCTCAGATAATCTGATTCTGAATTTACACTATAAAGCCCTCTGCTTTATGTTTACACTTGCAGAATAATGGTTAGAAACTGCCCCCTTTCCTCTTTGATTAGATTTCTGGGCAGAAAATCCTTTCCTTACAGTGATGCTTAAGACTTTCACATGACTGTGGCCGAAGCCATTCCTAAGGTTTTCTCTGTGACCATGAGCAAGTCCCTTCAACTCAGTTACGTCATTTATGAAATGAAGGGTGGGAGCAGATTAATTGTAAACACTAAAATCCTTTGATTTTTTCCCACTAGATACTGCCTACTGTGTGAAGGTAACAAGAGCCTTTAGAGGATTTTTTTATCCCAATTTCAAATTTTTTGAATGAACATTAACTCTAATCTTGAAGCAATGATTTTCTTTATTTTCTTTAAAGGATCTGTTTGAACCACAGACTGCTTTGTTGAGATATGTTTTGGAGCAGCCTTATTCCAGGGATATGGTCTGCAATATGCTAGGTTTAAATAAGCAGGTACTGTACTGTGCTGGAAACCTAGTAAATTCTGCATAGAATCTGCACTATTCTTTTCTCTTTTCTTTGCTATAGCTAACTGAGCAAAACAGTTAAGAACTATTTGATGATTTTTTTTTTAGTATATGGTTTATTAAGTAATGTATTATTTCTATCATTTATATATTGCTTTAAGAATGTTTAAATTAAAAAGGAGATATTTTAAAAGTTGGTTTATTTTGCATTGCTTTTTTTTCTATAAGGCCAGTTTCAAGTATACCTTTTGCCAGAGAAACCTACACATGACTTAACCATAATTTTTGACTTTTTTTTGGTTTGGGTGTCTATTTTTATAACCCTTGGTATCTTCAGCGTGGCCTCAATTGCTGGTTTTTTTTTTTTTTTTTTTTCTTTTTGGTGTATGTTTTTGGTGGTTTAACATGTGGGCGGGTTTGTGCTGACTCTGGGTTCCTTGAGGCTGGCCTCATAGTCACTGTTTTGTCTTTTCTTTTTTTCTTCCTTTATTTTTGTTCTGTCCTGTCTTGTCCTGCCCATCCTCCAATGCTCTAGACCTTGAACATTGCTCAGGTATGTTCACAACCTTACTGTTGTATTGTGACTAACGATACGCTGGCCGCTTTGTAGCCACTGATTCCATTTAGAGAATACATGTATGGTCGGGGCTTGAAATTGGCAGGACCATGCTGAGACCAAGGCCACTAAAATGAATTTCTTCTTGGGATTATGAGAGTTGTTTTTGGTGGATTGTTTTTGGTTTTGGTTTTTGGTGTTTGTTTGTTTTTTGTTTTTTTTTTAATATTCTTTTTTCTTTTTTTTTTTTAAAAATCAAGAGACAACACCTGGCACTTGATAAAGCCTGTCACTTTTTGATGAGTTGTTTTTCCTTCCCACTCCATTTTACTGTTTTTCCTACTTCAGAGCTAAAGCTAGCCTGGTGGAATTTTCAGAGATGGAAAGATTGGTGGTGGCCTTTATCTTTCCAGATAATTAAAATATAAACAAACAACAACATCAATAAAAATACCTGCCTTGCTTTGCCTAAAAACAAAAACAAAACAAAACAAAAAAAACAGTTTAACAGAGATATGTTACTTTTACAAGTTGGAGTGGTAAGCTTTACATGGGGAAGTTTTTTTGGAAACGTGGAGATTGACTGAGAAATGTCACACTCTTAGGTGACCCCACACCTGCTTGACAAACACGCTTCTTTGTCAGTCTTTGCCGGAAGTGACCCCTCCTGGCGTTAGCGCCTCTCAGCGGAAGGCCGCATGTGGCAGGAGGAGCACAAAATGGCCAGACTCTATAAAACGGACTCTTATACATTCCCAAGTCTGTTTCAGGACTTTTCACCTTTGAGATTTTAAGCAAAATAGTGGTTCTAATTATTTTTGTTAAAAATTTTTGAGCCCAGCATATTAAAATAGACCAGCTTTTTGATTTTAATAAGACATTCTTGTCCAAGTTATATAAAATAGCGTTGCTGTTTGCAATACTATAGTGAAGGTTGTGCCAGTGCTTCCATTTATAAAGCCCTATTTTTAAGGACATATAGCTTGGCCATAAAACTTGCTCAGTGTTGAAACTTTGCATGCCAAACCTCACCCTAGTAGCAGTATCTCTTTTATTATTTTAAGTTTTTTCTTCTGAAAAATTTACCAAGTCTCCTTGTTTGGACAAGCCTTTGTTCATGTGAAACTGAAACTGCTTCACACCACAGTATCTGACAGTTTCCTCACATAACCTGTCAATGTAACATCTTAAACACCAAGTCATTAACTCTGATGAGCTTTCACTTGAGTTAGAGGTAAGTATTCAGTTAACCTTGAAAGAATGCTTTCATGCTATGTCTTAAACCTAATTTTTGCAATGAACTTTAAGGCATACTTGACTCATTTTTTTTGCAGTTTGGTTAATAAACATACCCATGGTCATTTGAATCCCACCCCCCAGATATCCTTAGCCATCCTTAACTTTTTGCTTTTGGAGAGCAGCTCTTCTCAAATGAGAAATTGATGAAATTTAGAGAAGGATATTTCTGATCTGATCCTTTGAATAACAAGTTTCAACCTAAAAAAAGTTTATGACTAAGACATAAATCCATAAAAAATAAAGTTTATAATGGAAATGCTGACAGAACATTATTAGTATTGATCCCACTATAGTGTAAACATTGTCAAAAGTTCACAATTCATCAGTAATTGTTTTGGTAGAAAACACTGTAGTCAGTGGATTTGTAAATGTAAGGTATATGCCGAATTGACATATTATTTTTACCAACTAGAAAGTAGGGTGGAAGATGAGAGCACACTGTATAAGAAGCATATGATTAAAAATTAACAAGTTATTACATCTTTTATCGTTACAGAACTATATCCTGCACTATACTTTCTTATCCTTTCTCTAGCGATGCAATAATTTACTTAAAGCTTTGAAACCTTTTAAGAGCTGTCCATATTGTATTTTCCAGTAGGAATTGGGCTATGGTACTTTATCCTAAAATTGGTTGCATTCAGAAGGTCATTAATAGTTCTGTGACCAGCAGGGGAGAGTGTTCACAGTGGAAGAATCCTGTTTTGTGTGTTTGCACAACAGTTTGTATTTCTTCTACTGAAAAGGAGCATTACAAAACAGATCCATCCTCAAGCTCTTACGTGGTGGTGTATGAACTCTGACTATGCTGAGATAGCGAGGTACTAGACTGATCATTCCGTCTATCCTTAAAAGGCACCATTGAAAGTGGTATTTACTGGCAGGGGACTCCAGTTCTGGTTGGTAGAAAATATGATAAATGAAATACAAAGGGATTTTTCTTCCCAAGTTGTCCTCAATAAATACTGCTTTAAAATTAATTTCTGTCTCTGAAATAATGGTTTTTAAATTAACCAATGCCTACCTAGGTTCATGGGCTTCCCAGGTGGCACTAGTGTTAAAGAACCCACGTGCCAGTGCGGGAGACAAGAAGCACAGGTTCGATCCTTGGGCTGGAGGATTCCCTGGAGGAGAGCATGGCAACCCACTCCAGTGTTCTTGACTGGAGAGTCCCAAGGACGGAGGAGCCTCGTGGGCTACAGTCCATAGGGTCTCAAAGTCAGACACAACTGAAGCAACTTAGAAAGCACACTCCTAATTATAATGTGTTAAAATTGTACCACATAAGCAGTACCAAAACCATTACTTGGAAATATCAGGGGCCACTTAATATAGGATATGGTTACTAAGACTGAAGGCATTATCATTTGCCATTTTAAATAGTGGTGGGAAAAAAGTCAGGGGCATGGGTGGGGGTTGATATTCATGTTTCCATTAATGCCTTATTCAGCCTGATTTTTAGGCTGAAAATCTAAAATAAGTTTCCAATCCAGTTTGAACCATTATGCAGAAATTAAAATGCTGAATTTAGATTCTTACTGTTAAAAAGAGGCTTTAACTAAACATGCATATATGTATGATATAAGCTAATTCAACTTATCTGCCTACATCTTGAGGACTTAAATTCATGAAAGCTTTCAGCAACTTGTGAATAGTCATAGACATAGGTAGCATCCATTGACTGCCAGTCTAGTGATTAATAATTAGCCTTTATTCACAAGTCATTAAACTGATTTACAGATTTGTTCCACTTTATAAAATAATTTATGTGGTAGAGAGTCTTAATTTTAATGTACTTATCTTTTAGCAGTTGAAAACTAAAATAAAACTTACTCTAAAGTAGTTAGCAGCACAGCTCATTTTATAATCCATACTTCTCTCTTTCTCTCTTTTTTTGGTATTATTAAAATTGGCAAGTAAAAGAGGAACATAAGTTTAAGCTATCCCTAAGCTTGGTTTGAGAACTATCCTTGGATTTAACCAAAAACACCTGGGAAATACAGAGTTAATTTTGACAGATACTCTTCTACCCTCAGACTAAGTAGCTGCATTTGGTGCCCTAGATATACCTGACTGATTTAACTGTTAACAGAAAATTTGGGGGTAATTTTGAGTCTTAATACATATTGAATGATTGTCAGCTTTGACTGTAAATTTCCTACTTCTCACTTTGCCAAAATCTTAGTATTTTTGGTTTTCCTCTAAATCATGAACTATTTGACCATAAATCACTGCACTTCTAAAAATATGTAGGTTAAAATTCAGTTCTTTAAAACAAATAGCTAGTACTAACATGGAAAACTCAAAAAAATGACCCAGGTGCTCAAAACCAACTTTATTTAGTTTGTTCTTTTTTCCTGAAGCAGATTGATGGAAGACTGTCGTGGGTGGAGGAATAGATGACAAATTGGTTAGTTTCCAAACTAGAACCAAATTCCCATCACTAACGAAAAATTCCTACTGGAAATCCTGGCTTTACTTCTTTTCACAAATTTTTCTGACTCTTGTATACTTTGAATGATCTCACTCTAAATTTGTGTTGTCTGACACATTTCTTAGGTTGTTGGTGGTTGGCAGAACTAGTGAATTTCAAGCCCTGTACACAGTAGTTTTGCATGCTGATTTAAGAAATAGTTTGTAGTGTTGTCTGTTGCACTTTGCTCTGCTTCATAATGATAATTACATTTGGAGGAAAAGTACTGTAGTCCCAACTGGTGGTGTTAATATTGCTCTTTGTAAAACTGTAATGTGGTTGAACTGTGATCATGGCATTGTGTTTTTGGAAAAATTATGAAACAATCATTGATGCTTACTGTTTTGGATAGATGTTTGTTTTATTTGCATGCTTTAAGGAAGTGCAGCTATATTGGAGCTTTACAAGTTTGGAGCTGGCAGAAAGCATGCAAAAGAGGGGATGCTATTCATTATGTTTTGTTTTTTTCCAAATTCGTCCCCATTTTGCATTTTCCCCCTAAATTTAAGGAAATCATATCCCTTTTTCATGGCAAAAGACTAATAATCACATCTAAAGTTTACAGGGAAAGCATCTGTATTAGTATTGTATTCATTAGTAAGGCTTCCAACTGCCTGGCTATTAAGTCATATAACATATTTTATTAAAAATATGAAAATGGCTTAAAATATGGCTTAATATTTCTTTTGATAAAAGCTTTTGAATCACTTTAAAAAGCATAAACCTTTTTGCCTCTAGAAAGGGAAGTTGCATTTTCATTTTTAGTGTTTAAACTCAATTATTTTTCTTGTTTTAGATTTTAAAATAGTCTAATTTAAAATTAAAGCTGCATAATGTTTGACTTCTAAGAGGGAAGAACATAGCTTTAACTTTGAGGCCTTTTTTTTTAATAGAGGAAATTTCCATTTCAGTATCAAATAAGTACCACACGTTGAAAAACAGACATTGAATGTTTAGATATACCTCTGTATATAAAGCTAGTGTAAGCCAGTGGTGATTACTTTTAAGTAAATAGATCACACACTGCTTTGTTCGCTCTTTTGTCATAATATGTGATTCCTGGAAATCCAGGGGTTTCATATTTTGAGTTAGATTGTAAAATTAATACTGTTATCACCATTTCATGTATCTTTAAAATGCTCTTTGTTCAAGAAATAAATAACAGAATTTTCTACTGTGTAGTTCCCTCTGTCATACTGGAACAGTGATGTCTGTAGTAAAAGTCAAAAGCTAATGGGAAGCCTATTTTAGGTGAGAAAACTAATTTTTTATGAAATTCATCCTCTGTGATAATATAACATGGTGCAGCTTTAATGGACTAAACCTAGCCTTAACTTTCTAAGTTCAACGTCATTCCATGCTTCTTGGCCTCTCTGTTACAATGAACGCCCCTTGACTGGTAACTTGGGAGCTAACCGGGAGGCTCTTGGAATACTGTATTCAATCTCTGCCCCACAGCACAAGCAGCGCTGCCCTGTGCTGGAGGACCAGCTGGTGGACCTGGTGGTTTACGCCATGGAGCGGTCCGAGACGGAGGAGAAGTTTGATGACGGGGGGACCAGCCAGCTGCTTTGGCAGCATCTCTCGAGCCAGCTCATTTTCTTTGTGCTTTTCCAGTTTGCAAGTTTCCCACATATGGTCCTTTCTCTTCATCAGAAGGTGAGTGCATGCCCTCTTTCAGAGCCATTTCACCTGCTGATGAGTCTATTTCAGATGAGTGTATCTAGTGAAACAGAAGTTCCGAGCTCTGATTTCTCTTTTGTTCAGTGCTCTTATGATTTCTTCACTTTTCACTTTCTTGTCACTGTAAAAACTGGATTCATTTATTTATTCCACATATTCACAATGCCAGGACCAGGAGAGACAAAATGAAAAGGTACTAATATATAATATAGTACCCTCAAAGAGCTCCTTACTGGTGAGAAGATGTAGGTATAAACAATTGGATTATAATAATAATGAAAACATGTTTCCTTGCAATAGAAATGAAAGAGAAAAGTCCCTGTTAAAGACACCCAAGAATGGCTTTATCAAAGGGGGCTTGAAACTATTACTTGAAAGACAAGTAGAAATTTGTCAAGGGGAAAAGATAGGAAAGTGTTTCCATGGCAATAAAATGACCATTTAGAGGCAGAAATGTGTGAAAACATGAAAGAAAACTATAGAAGGGAAAGTGTTGGTGAGATGAGGAAAGCAGGACAGTAAGACCAGACATGGAGACCTTTATATCCCCCTGTGTTTGTTCTGAGGATTTAAAATTTACTTTCGGAAGTAAATGAGGAGCGGAAGGACATCATCAGATACAAGCTGGAAAAATTACTGCTAAGCATCACATATGGGAAGACAGTGATGTAGAGATGAATGAAGCCAAAATCAGAGGCCAGGAAACTAGTAAGGGAGCTGTTTCTGTGGTCTGGGGGAGAGAGGCTGAGGCCTAAACCAGGAAAGAGGAGGAGCGAGAAAGCAGGCAGGCGGGGAAGTATATTAAGACATGATGGCAATAGGTGACAGAGAGAGTGTCAGGAATCTAGGACCACTCACTGGCTTCTGCTTTGGCAGTGAACGAAAGAGGACAATGAATCCAAAACAGAGAATACGTGTGGCAAAGTAAGTGTGTGGGAAGGGTTGGTTTTAGGCATAAGGCTTTATACACATTGAATGGGAGTAAAATGAGTGGTGTAATATCTGTAACATCTTGATAGCCTGGATTATCTTGGGGAAATTTTTCATAAGAGTTGTTAAAATCCTTTTAACCACCACTTACTTACCACCCCTATCTCCACCACTGGTTTCTGTTACAATCTATAGGAAACCAGGAAAAGTATTTTTGATAACCAGTCCTTGAAGAGTAAAAAATAAATAAATATAACCTTTTTGTTATAATAATAACAAACTCTGGTATTTTTTTAAATTTATTTTTAATTGGAGGATAATTGCTTTGCAGTGTTGTATTGATTTCTGCCATGTATCAACATGAAGCAGCCATAAGTGTACATATGTTCCCTCCGTCTTGAACCTCCCTCCCACCTCCCACCCCAGACTCCTTGTGTTTTGATGCGGTATTTTTAGTAACATTCCCATATTAAACTTGATTCTCTTGCACACATACTCAACTTAATTATGTCTAAAACATTTCATTTTTGATTTGCATAGTTGTTTTGGAAATCAGGGAGAAGCAATATTAATTTTAAAAGCTTTGCTGGGTGTGCCCTGAGTAGTAAATGCCAAAGTTAGGTGCTAACTTTCTAAGAACAAGATTTCTCTCTTTTTTTTTTTTTCTTTAAGCTTTATATATCTGTTTCTTTGACTGTGTAGATGTGCATTTAAATATCTTTTACAGTTGGCGGGGCGAGGACTGATTAAAGGTCGAGATCATCTTATGTGGGTTCTCCTGCAATTCATTTCTGGGAGTATTCAGAAAAATGCACTTGCTGACTTCCTCCCTGTCATGAAGCTCTTCGACCTTCTGTATCCGGAAAAAGAAGTAAGTTTGGCTAGTATGATTAGAATTATGTCTAGTTTATGTATAAGGATGTTGGTGTAATTTTGTGAAAAGAGCACTGGACTTGAAAAATGGAAACATGGTTCTTTTCCCAGTTTTTGTAATAGCTGTAATCATGGGATGGACATTCAGTCTCTCTTGACATTAGTTCATTTCTATGTAAAATGAAGAAATTTAACTAGATTGTTTCTGAAGTTTATCTTTAATCACAGTCAAATCACAGTCGAACAGCTAGTATGACAAGCTCTTTCTCTATATTTTAAAAAGGTTTACAATTTTTTAAGAGCGTGAAACTGTTTTAATGTATACACATTTAAGGACCAAATAACATCAGTATCTGTTAATTTTTTTTTTTTGGTTGTTTGCTAATTGAGTATGTCACAGTAGTAAAGTCGCTGTCGTGTCTGACTCTTTGTGACCCCATGGACTGTAACCTATGAGGTTCCTCCATCCATGGAATTTTCCAGGCAAGAGTACTGGAGTGGGTTTCCTTTCCTTCTCCAATGTCACACTAGTGCTTATTATATAAGGTGTTTGAAATATGGTATGTATTGATGATTGCCATTTTTTAGGAACATTTTATTACGGAAATTTTTAAATGCACCAAAAAATGTAGAGTAAGTTAAAAAAAGAAACTCTCATGTACCCATCACCAAGAAATGTTCTTATTTCTTCTTTCCTTCTCATCTTGTTTTTCCTAATGCTGGATAATTTTAAAGCAAATTCCAAACATCTGTGTAATTTCACCCATCAATATACAGTATGTCTGATGCTGCTCATTTAGATTGCTTATCTCTTACATGTTGTTGAAAAGCATACATGTGACTCTTAGAAATTCTCTATTCATGTTTATCACACACAGTAAAATAATGATGTGATTAATTTTTTCATATGATGTGTTTAAATTTTAAAAAATAAAAATTTAATGATTGTGGATGCTCTGTGACAGTAGAAAAAGCTTGACTAAGCACCTGTGAATTTCTGTTATTTTCTTGGAAAGTAGAAGCAATCTTTTAGTAGTTTCAGTATCTGATAGCTATTAGATCTTCTGGTTTGTATTATTGAACAAAGGACAGCTGGAGCTAATTTAACACAGGATGTTTTAAAAAGGAGTCCAGTGGAAATGGGTGACTGTAATACATGTAATTAGTTCACTCTGCTCTCCTATAATATGTAAATTGTTCTTTTTTAGTTTATCCCGGTTCCTGACATTAACAAACCCCAGTCAACTCATGCCTTTGCCATGACCTGCATTTGGATTCATCTCAACAGAAAAGCCCAAAATGACAACTCCAAACTACAGATTCCAATACCTCACTCCCTAAAGCTTCACCATGAGTAAGTTGTTTGTAGCTTGACAGTTCATTTTTTTAACTTAATAGTGGGGTGAAGGCTAATGATAATTTTCTCAGTATTTATATAAAATATGAAAATTTTCCAGCATCCACTGGAGGTAAGGATAAATACTTAATGTGTATATTATAACTAAGAACCTGATCAATACCTGCAGCAGAAAGCAATTAGAAGATTAACCCATCCTGTTTATATGTGTGGGGATATATATATGTATATACATTTTTTAAAATTTTCAGGTCTATTTTTGCTTTTATGTATTTTACCTTGGTTAAAATACTTACTTTCCAAAAATATGTAAAAATGTTTCAGAGTATCTTAGATTTGAGCCTGATTGAGATATCACTCACTCCCTGGGCTGCAGTCAATCCGACTGAACTGATCTGGTTGTCATGCTCCCTTACACATTTCCAAAGCTGTGATTACCCAAAAAAGATGCACTTTTTTAGATAGGACTGGGCTTCCATCAAGGATGTTAATTCCCACCTAGACCTTCTGAAAAAGACCGTCAGGTCTGTTTATAGGAGACTTCAGGGTAGTCGGATTTCACATTTCATTTGACTTTCATTGTATGATACCCCTTAACCATTTTTCCTCAGTGACATCTGTAATGAAGGCATTTGAATGTTCTTAAGCAAGTAGATAATAGATAGAAGCCTAATTTATGAATCTGTGGCTTATTTCTTCATTATCTGAGTCTTAGTGCAGTATATGTAGTACCTATTTAACAAATAACCATTCATTGTTCACTTTTAACTGCTAACATTCTTTCTGAATGCTTCTTAAACCTTTCGTTTGTCAGCACTCTTTTGGCAGAAACTATGATATCTATAGGAATAAAGATAATATATTTGTTCAGTCACTCAGTCATGTCCAACTCTTTGTGACCCCATAGATGATAGCCCGCCAGGCTTCCCTGTCCTTTACCATCTCCCAGAGCCTGCTCAAACTCTTGCATGAAATTAAACTTTTATTTTTAAAAAAAATGCAGATTACCTTTCTGGAATTTATTTTCATTTTTTTCTATTTAATGGAACTTGAAATTTTAGGTTCCTGCAGCAGAGTCTTAGAAATAAGAGCTTACAAATGAATGACTATAAGATCGCCCTGCTATGCAATGCATACTCTACAAATTCAGAATGTTTTACGTTACCTATGGGAGCTCTGGTGGAAACTATTTATGGAAATGGAATTATGAGGATACCACTTCCTGGAACGAGCTGTTTGGCTTCAGGATCTATTACGCCCTTACCAATGAACCTCCTGGATTCACTGACAGTTCATGCCAAAATGAGGTATATTCTTTTTATTTGTTTGGTTTTATGTCAAGAAATTGATGTCAGTGTAGTAAAGACTTGATTGCATGATTATGTGTGTATATTTTATGGTCAGATATATTTTTAAAAACGTTTAGGTTTATTCTATAACAAAAATGGTATTGTTTATTATGGGAATTCTAGAATATACATATAAGCCCAAAGAAAATGAAAATAATTGCTATAATCCCTCCTTGAAAACTAAGCATTGTAAAATTACATTTATATATGTGTATTCTGAGTCCTTATTCTATGTGCATATATATATGAATTTATAGGTTTTTTTTTTTGTTTTTTCCAAAAATGTGCTCTTAACTACAGTACTGTTTATAGCCACCTTTTTCTCATTGTTGTTTAGTTGCTAAGTTGTATCCAACTCTATTAAACACCTGTTTATTTTCATTTTTTAATTAAGCATCTTCTTAGGGCTAGTGCTCTTCAGAACCATCTGTTTTAATTGCTACATAGAGGTCTTTTTTTAGGTCTATATGTGATCCTTCAGTCAATTGCATATTGTTGGATACTGAAATTATTTGCAGTGTCTTAGTGTTATAAAAATGGCTATGAAGATTATTTTTTTGGCTGTATTTGCACCTATCCATAATTCCATTTTTATTAAATAATTTGCTGGAAGTAGAGTTACTGTGCCCAGGAATGCAAAACCTGTAATACCTTTCTTGTATTGACTATATGTAGGGGTGCTTTTAGAATTGGCATTTATGGTCTCTAAAAGACAGAAAAGGCCCCAAGGGACCACAGGAGCTAAGCTGATGGTGTAAGTGAGTGGTGCCTGGTGCTGCATGCGGGCAAGTCAGGCAACTGTGTGCCCGGAAGCTTGTGTATAGAGAGGGATTGTGAGTGACTGGGGTGTGTGGGGCTTAACTCACAGTACTGCCACTTGGGCTAATTTCTGTTATGTTAAACTGTGTGCTAGTGTAGTTAGTTCTTCAAAATGTTTTTTGAAAAGGGCTAGAAATCCAGATTTTTATTTCTAGACTTCCAACCATTAAATGATGACTCAAGCTTCAAACACTGCATAGGTCCAAGAGAATGTGTGTATGGGCCTCCAGGTCGGGAGAGCATTGGTTCTAGAACAGCCACTGTTTTTCAGGCAGTAAATGCACTGAAAAACATACATGCACTTCACTGGCATATGTGAGCGAGTTGAGTATAGCCCTGTTAATACCTTATATTAACAGGTAATCCTGTTAATATTTGGATTTGCAGTTACTTGTTAAGTGGTTCTTTAACAAAAGTTAATTTCTTAAGTGGTTTTAGTTACATATTTGGAAAAGAAAAACGGCCTAAAACCATTCAAGCATATTATTTTTTTTAAAAAGATTTATTTTTTTTTAATTGAAGGATAATTGCCTTACGGAATTTTGTTGTTTTCTGTCAAACGTCAACATGAATCAGCCATTGGTATGCATATGTCACCTCTGTCTTGAACCTCCCTCCCATCTCCCTCCCCACTCTGTGCCTCTAGGTTGGTACAGAGCCCCTGTTGAATTCCCCAGGGCCTACAGCAGATTCTCCCTGGCTGTCTCTCTTGCATATGGTGATGTGATTTCCATGTTACTCTGTCCATACATCTCACCCTCTCCTTCCCCTGCCCTCCGTCCACAAGTCTGTTCTCTGTGTCTGTTTCTCCATTGCTACCCTGCCAATAAATTCATTGGTACCATCTTTCTAGATTCCATATGTATACGATACGATATTTATCTTTCCCTTTCTGACTTACTTCACTCTGCATAATAGGTTCTAGGTTCATCCACCTTATTAGAACTGACCCAAATGTGTTCCTTTTTGTGGATGAGTAATATTCTGTTGTATATATGTATCACAGCTTCTTTCTTCCATTCTTATGAGTTGTACCCAGATTGTGCTGTTTTGTGAACAGAGAGACCCTGATGCGGGTTGAAAGCAACATGGAAACCAGAATCAGTCTCAGGCTGTACAGTGCATCATTGCCCTGTGTCCTGCAAAACCTAAATGACAAAAACAGCTGATTCATTTCAGCTAGTTCAGATTTACACCAGGTTCCCTAGAAGTAGAATAATTCCTGTATTTATGTTAAAAATCTGGATTTTTATTTTGTTTTAATTTATGTTGTTGTTTCTCCTCAGCCTTATCCACAGCATTGCTACCAGAGTGATAAAACTTGCTCACGCAAAGTCAAGTGTGGCCTTGGCTCCAGCCCTAGTGGAAACTTACAGCCGCTTATTGGTCTATATGGAAATAGAATCTTTGGGCATCAAAGGATTTATCAGTAAGACAGGACTTCCTGGTGTTTTATAACCATTAACCTTTTTCTTCATTCAACATACACTTTTCTAGTTTCTAGGAATATAGAAGTGTGCAGAAGTCACTCTCATCATAGACATCACCCGCTAATGAGGAAAACAGAAAAAATATATATATAATTGAAATATAAAATAAATCTTACAGAGAAAAATAGAGGAAAAACAAGGGATAAGACCCTCACAGAGGGTCAAGGGAATGGGATACATTTTTTAAAAGTTATGGTTAAAAAGTGTGTGTGTGGGGTGGGGGGCATGTAATTGTACTAGGTGCTTGGGATACAGTAAACAGGACAGGATAGACCTGTCTGTGATCATAAAAACCCTGGTCCCATTTGGCTGGCCTGCTGGTTTGCCCTGGGACAGCAGTAAGTTGCAGGTCTGACTGGCAATTTGAAAGCATGTTCCTGCATTGCATTACAATTCAGTTCTATTCAGTTGCATTACAATTCAGTTCCTGCATTCCAATGTCTGTTAGTTATTATGCAGTTCTAAATAATAAACACTTTCTAATGTGAAAGTGTTTTTCTGATTTGTGGTAATTCTAATTTTTTACCAATGCAGTGTCATTTTAACCATGGTTACTCTTCTTTCCAGATAATTGAAAGTCAAATTAAGCTTTCATAGCAGAAAGGAGGGGGTATCATATAATTTGTGTATTAAAAAATGATCCTCATGCTTCAAAAGGTTGGGAACATTAACTTTATTAAAATAATTTGAAAGATAACTAAATAAAAATAAATGAAGACATGAGGAAGCCTAGAGTAATTTTTTCCCATGTCCTGGTTCTTTACTTGCACAGATGAACTTGACTATCATTTTTCAAATTCCAAAGAAAAAAGCAAATTTGGTGTTACAATAAGAATCTGAATTTTCTTCCTTACAAAGTGAAAGTGAAAGTTGCTCAGTTGTGTCCGACTCTTTGCGACCCCATGGACTATACAGTCCATGGAATTCTCCAGGCCAGAAGTGGGTAGCTATTCCCTTCTCCAGGGGATCTTCCCAGCCCAGGGATTGAACCCAGGTCTCCTACATTGCAGGCAGATTCTTTACCAGCTGAGCAACCAGGGAAGTCCTCTTTCTTACAGTTCAAGTACAAATTAGGAGAAAATTGGGGAAATATATGTGTGTATTTGTGTGTATCTGTGTGTTTGCATATGTGTATGTTCATGATCAAAATCTTTATGCATAGAGTTTACTCGCTGTGACTTAAATAACTTTTAATTCATAGCTTTTACTGATTGGTATCTTAAATTTTCTTCTTCTTCAAGGTCAGCTTCTGCCAACTGTTTTTAAGTCTCATGCCTGGGGTATCTTGCACACTCTTCTTGAGATGTTCAGCTACCGGATGCACCACATCCAGCCGCATTACAGAGTCCAGCTCCTGAGCCATCTTCATACGTTGGCTGCAGTTGCACAAACGAACCAGAACCAGCTCCATCTCTGGTGAGCTCACCGGAGACCATCTTTCCTTTGGTTTGTTAGAAAATTTGTTCAAGATGGTGAACTTAATCCATTACCTTATGATGTTCACTGTCATAAAATTCCTCTGCTTCTGGAGTGTTTTATTGCCAGTATAGAAAAAGTAGAGTTCAACTTCTTAAATAGAAACCTACTAAGATAGTTGCATCATTGCTTGGAGATCTTTGGACTGAGAACAAGTATTTCCACGACCTTTGACATTGTGTTTTAACTTAGTGCTTATTTAGGTTGGGGTTACATGTCATTTTGATTTTGCTCTAATTGAAAATATATTCTGAATTTTTAAAGATGTCATTTTTAAAATGCTGTGTATCCAGGTGACATTTTTTTTTTAGTCCTTAAAGCTACACATTATCTTTTTCAGATGCATAAAAATGTCAGATGATTTTTGCTATTAAATTTGACACCTCAGATTTTTAAAAACTAGTTAAACAAAGCTTGTTTTCACACAGAACTGAGTTTGTTTTTAATCAAAGAAGAGAAGTTTATAGTTTGCTTGTTTTCCCATTGTGATTAACCTAGAGTTACATTTAATTCTAGAGTTCTGAGTTTATGTGCGGCTTAACTTCTCCACGATTGTGTCTGCTCTCCCACTTTGCAGCGTTGAGAGCACTGCACTCAGGCTCATCACAGCACTCGGGAGCTCAGAGGTGCAGCCGCAGTTCACACGCTTCCTCAGTGATCCCAAGACGGTGCTCTCAGCGGAGTCTGAAGAACTGAACCGCGCCTTGATACTGACCTTAGCTAGAGCAACCCACGTGACAGGTACAATGAACACGCAGCCCCCAGCCTCAGACACCGATGCGTCAGAGGGTGCCGTATCTCCTGACTCCTGGGCTGGGGCTGGGGGTAACATTGAAAAGATTCTTCTCACTTGTATCCAGAAAAACCAGTTATTGTTTGGTTATCTTTACCATTTCAGTCATTAAAGCAAGTTCTTCTGTACTACCATTTTAACTTGGTTGGACATCAGTTTTTAGTCATCTGACATCGTTTTAAAGTCACGGTTCCTGAGCTTTTTGGTCTCAGGACCACTTTATACTCAAAAATAACAATAATAATAATGATTAAAATTCCCAAACATTTTCTGTTTATATGGCTTATATCTATGATATTTGCTTTGTTAGGTATTAAAGCAGGACTTTTTAAGATCTGACTCATTTTACAAACAATAAAAAGCCTATTGCATGTTAACATAAATAATGTAATTTTTGGTGTAAAGGATCATAGCTGAATTTAATGTCTGGTGTAAAGGAACATAAGCTGAATTCTCTTACATTTCACCTATTGTAGATGTTACTTTAGAAGAAGTAAGTAAAAAAAAAAATGTACGGTTTTACACAGATAGTAGGTTGAGAAGGGGAAAAGTATTTTAAATAGCTTTTTCAGCTAATTATGAATCCACTGTAATGTCACACAAAATTGAAAAATTGGTAGTTTCTTAAATGTTCATCTCGATGTGGAATCCAAAGTCCCGTCAGGGAACCCTGCTCTGTCACATTATAATCTGCTCATCTGTTTTGGACATTTAGTGGATTTTGTGTTCATGCATATTTTAACTTTATGGATTGGTTTTTTTGGAAAACATTGGTTTACTGGATTATGTAGGTAGATCTTATAAATGTTGACACATTTCATCATATAGCATCAGAAAATTATATTTTTTAACCTTGCTACAAATTTCATTAGGAAAAAAGTCTTTAAGTTTTAGAAAGCTATTGGGTTTGTGGTAGTGGATACAAGTTTTCCAAAATTCTCATTTTTGCTTGAAAGGTCAAATTTTATCATTGGTGAAAGATACAGTCATTTGTTCTTCTTAAAGTTAGAGGCTCCCTTTATTAATTTTCAAGAAAATACCTGCCGAATGTCCAAATCTGAATAACTGTGCTCTTTCAAGTAAAATTGGGATTCCATGAAAAAACAGCTAATTTGACCCAAAACTCAATCACAAAGTATTTTTCCTCAAGATAACCTTCATACTTTGATATGTAGCAGCAACACCTTATGCATACTTCCATTTTATCACACAGGATGTTACAAACAGATGTACTTAAGGGCTGAGACATAATCTTTTTTACAGTTTTATCAAAGATAGTCTTAAGTGAAACTGGCAGTTTTTTTCCTGCTAAGGGTGTGTTGTGAAGATTACAATGGCATGAGTATAATTTGGTAGCACTGTTTGATTTGTTCCAATGGCTAGCAGTGTTACCCCACCATTGCTTTTGCACCATCAGTGCACATTTCAACATGGTAAAAAGGCCAATGGTGTCTTAGTATCATTATTATTATTATTATTATTATTATTATTATTATTATTATTATTATTTTAATATTGTTGACCTCATCAAATCCTTGAAAGATATTGGGGACCCACAAAGTTTGCAGACCAGACTTTGAGAATGGCTGTTTTAGAGAAATAGTTACTGAGTTTAGCAGTAACATGTGTGTTACTGTCCAATACATGTGTGTATTACATGTGTCCAATACATGTGTGTGTTACTCCAATACATGCGTGTATACTGTCTTATTTTACATCCTTTGATTTAGAGGATTATAGACTGTAGGTGTTTCAATCACCAGAAGACATATCTGCTGTACTTTAACAGTTCTATTTCCTTGGTTCAGTAAAGTGCTAACACCTCACTGTCAGGAGTGAACTAAATGAGCAGCCGTGGTAGGCCTGTACCACTGTTGTGTCATTGACGTTCTGTAATCTTAAAAAGAAAAAAAGGTACCAAATGTCTTTTGTATCCTTTTCACTAGCTATCTTCATATTTACTTGTGTGATTACTAGTTAAGTGGTGAATGCTCTGCAGAAATTCTCTGACTGTACAAACTAGTGACTTTCTCTGTGATGTCATCTATGAATTATGGACATGATCTTTTATATCTGGGTTACATTTATTTGTTTGTGTTAGATTTTTTTACAGGCTCTGATTCAATTCAGGGAACTTGGTGTAAAGACATACTTCAGACCATCATGAGTTTTACTCCTCATAATTGGGCTTCACATACTCTTAGTTGCTTTCCAGGCCCACTACAGGTAATTTTGTTTGAATTATATATTGAATGTACAGTATATGAAATCATTCTTCCCATTTACTGTGTTATTCTAGAAAGTTTTGATGACATCCAAAGAAAATTAGCTTTTGTTTCTTCTTGTGAATCTTTCTTATTACTCCCAAAATCTCTTGAGCTGTTCCTTGTTCTATTGAAGGACCAGATGTGTCTCTAAAACTGCAATTGTTATGGCTTCATCTTATTAGTCAACATTTTTAGAATCATGTGAGATGTAACCTATGACCTAAACAATTCTTTCTCTCTCATTGAACAGTAATGGGGAGAAACACGATGTAGTGGAGCTTTACAGAATATACACATGTACGTTTGACTGATTTTTTTTTTTTAAATCACACAGAAAAGCTATAAACTTGGCTATTATAATATGGAGAAAGGAAAACCTCATCTGTCTTCTACTTTTCAGAGAAAATTTTAAGCATAATAAACATCTGTTTTCTATAACTTCTAATAGGACTGGAACAGTAGGTCTCAAACTTATCAGAATCCCCTGGGGTGGTGATTTAGCTAGACCCCTAGACTCCAGCTGCAGAGCTTCTGATTCATTAGGTCTGAGATGGGGGCCAAGAATTCACATTTCTTACAGGTCCGAGGTCATGCTAACACTGATAGTCTGGGGACCATACTCTTGAGAACCACCTGGTTAGTGTAATGGATTTTCCTCATAGGGATATTAAAATATGTAACCCAAGAGTACATGCATATCTTTTTCTTTTTCTCTTTTTTCAAAGATGAGCAGAAGTATCAACAGATGACTGAAGAAAGTTTGATTTCAGGTTTGCTTGGAATTTCTGTTTAGAAAATCTAGGAAAGGAATCTTACGGATAATTCAATCGAAGTCTTTGTATTTTCCCAATATAGAAATTTAGGCCTTGATTACTGAGTTACTTGAGGGCACATGGAATTTATTCGTGTTAGAGTCAAGCCTGAAACTGGTTTCTTGATTCTGCAGCTAGTGCCCTTTTTTACTATAGCGATTGAAATAAACTTCTGATCTTCCTTGTAGGCATTCTTTAAACAAAATAACGTACCTCAAGAGAGTCGTTTTAATCTGAAAAAAAATGTGGAGGAGGAGTATAGGAAGTGGAAGTCAATGACCAACGAAAATGACATCATCACCCACTTTTCTGCGCAACGTTCTCCTCCTCTCTTCCTTTGTCTGCTCTGGAAAATGCTCCTGGAAACAGATCATATTAATCAGATTGGCTATAGGTAAGGCGAAAACCTAGATCTGCATTCCATTTGTCAGTCCATTATACCAGCAGTGTAATTTATTTTTTACTGTCTGCTTTCCAGAGTACTGGAGAGAATTGGAGCCAGGGCCTTAGTAGTCCATGTGAGAACATTTGCAGATTTCCTGGTATACGAGTTCTCTACATCAGCTGGAGGTCAGCAACTCAACAAATGCATTGAAATTCTTAATGATATGGTGTGGAAGTACAACATTGTTACACTGGACAGATTAATTCTCTGCCTGGTAAGAATACACTTACTTAAGAACAGATTTCTAAGCCGTCTCATTCTCTTTGGATCATTGTTAATGGCTAGATCTTGTGCTGATCTACTGTATGTTTCTAGTAAAGTAAAAGTTGCTCAGTCGTGTTTGACCCTTTGCGACCCCATGGACTATATAGTCCATGGAATTCTCCAGGCCAGGATACTGGAGTGGGTAGCCTTTCCCTTCTCCAGGGGATCTTCCCAACCTAGGGATCGAACCCAGCAGGCAGATTCTTTACTGTCTGAGCTGCCAGGGAAGCCCAAACATACTGGAGTGGGTAGCCTGTCCCTTCTCCAGGGGATCTTCCTGACCCAGAAATCAAACTGGGGTCTCCTGCATTGCAGGTGGATTCTTTACCAGCTGAGCTACCAGAGAAGCCCCATATTGTTTTTAAGGATTTAATGAATTTATACTGTATATCATGCATTGCTGTCAATTCCCGAAGGAATTAAAGATTCCCCAATTTCTTTACTCATCCATTCAGTAAGCATGTATTGAATATCTACTATGTTGTATGTACAGAAGGTAGAAAAGTAAGTAAGACAGATGTGGTCCTGGCTTTATGATGCTTTGAGATGATTCTCAAAAACTCCTGGAAGAGGTAGGAAGTAATAAAAAAAAAAGTCACTGAGTTATTTTTTGGAGTGTTAATAATCATTTATGTATACTTTGGTAGCCATAATATATAAGAAACAATGCTTTTTATAGTCACCCAGTATTCTCCAAGTGGTTTTTTTCTCCTGACTTTGATGTCTATTTCAGGCCAAATTTTAAGAAAAATCACTGAATCAGGCTGGAAACTGCCACATATTTTAATACTATAGTAGTGATATTTGAAGTAAGTGCTTAACATTCAGCTCTCAGCTCTAGAACATAGAGATAAAGAAAGTTACAGTCTAGTAAGGGAAATAAGGTAAGTCTATGAATCAGTAAATAAAAGAGTAAAGATGGACATTCCAGGTGAGAGCCAAAACTAGGTAAGAAGGGGTCAGGCATATTTGGGGAATGCTGAGCAATTATTTTGGGGTGGATTGTATTAGTGAAATTCTAATTCTGAGATTTTAGTGTCTTCAAATTTGGGATCTTTGGAGCCTTGCTCTCGCATAGGTTTGTCATTTCATTTAATTGTTCTGTTCTTCTCCAAAGGCCATGCGTAGCCACGAAGGGAATGAAGCCCAGGTTTGTTATTTCATAATTCAGTTGCTGTTACTCAAGCCAAATGATTTTAGAAATCGAGTAAGTGACTTTGTGAAGGAAAATTCCCCAGAACACTGGCTACAGAATGACTGGCACACCAAGCACATGAATTATCACAAGGTACTAATGAAAATTAGTGCTTCAGCTCATCCTTTTTAAGGCCAAACTTGAGGTCTGGCTAATTGACTTGGCTGTTTTCTCGGCAGGTCTATTCTTTTCTGTCTCGTCTGTGTAGAAGTGACTTAGCTGCCTAAACTTTCTCAAGGTTCTAGAGTCTCTCTAATATTAGGAACAGATTGAAACTACAGTTTTAGTAGGTGTGGGTACTTACAATAGAAAATGAAGAGTTAAACCCAATCCTTTCATATGTAAATCTCTTTTGGTATATCTTTAGGAGAATAGAAATTTTCTTAAGGACTCTAGATTTCATTGCATTGCCAGAGCAAACACAGTTGTATATTCTTTGAAAAATGGCAGGTTTATTTAGCTTTTTTTTTTTTAAAGAAAACTTAAAAAAAGATGCCCTAAACATTTACCATTTCCTCACTTCCACAGAAATACCCAGAGAAGCTCTATTTTGAGGGCCTGGCGGAGCAAGTTGATCCTCCTGTGCCAATACAGTCTCCATATCTGCCCATCTATTTTGGAAATGTGTGTCTCCGATTCCTTCCAGTGTTTGATATAGTAATCCACAGGTTTTTAGAGTTGCTGCCGGTATCCAAATCATTGGAGACTCTACTAGATCACCTGGGAGGCTTATATAAATTTCATGGTGAGCTTTTTCAAATTTTAATTCCATCTAAGCTTTCTATAGAAAAAAGTAGGCTGGACATGACCATATGGATAATAATAATTCTATAAGGTTTTATTTTAATAATTTTAATAAAAGCATTTTCATCAGAAGTGCTATGTGATGATGCCTTGATGTATAAAAATAGAACATAAAAATATCAATAGGTAAAATTATAGCAAAAATAAATAAATAATATGCAAGAGATGCCTTATTTTATATATTGTGTGATTAATTATCAAATCAGTACAGAAAGAAGTATGAGTTCAGAACAGATGGATATTACTGTGAACTAAATGAATCTTGGCAAGCTTCTTGGATGGATAGGGTTTGAACTATAATGTATGTGATTTTTATAAACAGGAGAAGAGAGCACAATAGGCAGGAGAAATCCTTTGAAAAATCATGGAGGTATTAAAAGCAAGGCATTTTTTTTTTAAATAATTGCCTCATTGGGCTAAATTGTACCTGGCAACTCATCACTGTAAAAGCCAGGCTGAGAAGTTCTGATTTTATAATCTACAGATAATGGAGAATTAGCTAGAAGTTATTGAGTAAAGTCATGGTATGGAAAGCATTATTTTAGAAAGGTGAGTCCAGTTCTAATAGCAGCATGTCTTGGAAGGAGGAAGCACAAAGACTTGTGTCAGTTAGCATCTAAACAAGTATGGTGACACTGAAAATGAGGAGGAAGGGAGAGAGAGTCAAGAGTAGAAATTGAGCTTGGGTGACCAGTTATGGGGAGAATATCAAAAGAAAGCAAGGACAGCTCTAAAGTTTTGAGCCGGGTAACCGAGAACGGTGAAGTCCGTGACAGCACGGGAGTCCTGGAGCAGCCACAGTAGGGGCTGGAGAGTGTTTAGCTGCCTATAAATAATAGAGGTGATTCTTCTTAGTCCTTGATCTAAGATATCTCCCTTCGTAGCAGAAGTCTGAATTGCATTTTAGCACTGCAGAGTAAATATGAAGTTCAAGGGAGCTTTCCTTTAAAAATACTTTTCTTTTTGGATTGGGTAATATATGCACCTGATGCAGTAGAAGTGGTTAGTCCCCACCCCTGTCCTCTAGCTTATTCTTGTAGCTCCTCCTTTCTTTCCCTGTAGGCAGTCACTGTTACCAGTTTCTTGTGTATCCTAACCTTAAATATTCTGGGGTTGGTAGTTTATTTTTTTCACAAATATAATATATACATTATTTGTTATTAACCTTTATAAGGTTTTACAGTTGATTATTTTGTATCATATCATACAAAGCTGCTTCATACATGCCATGATTAACTTGCCATGATTAACATGCCACTAACCAGTCCCCTGTTTTCATCATGTAGGCTATGCTAATCTTTTGCTCGTATAAACAGGCTGCAGTGACATTGCTTACACATACACCATTTTTGCAGGATAAATTTCCAGGAGTGGAATTGCTATATCTAAATGTGATGCGTATCCTTCAGTAGAAGCTGTGTATATTGTTAGAAGCCTTCTGCCTTGCCCTAAAATAAAAATAGCCATTGTATGCAATTGCCTAACATGTGAAATAGTCTTACAACCTTCTGAGCTATTTTTTGGCAATCTTGAAACTAGATCAGTTTCTTACAATTGTCAGTACCAGGTAAACATTGTAGTGATCTGTTTTCTTCTTGGCAGATCGTCCAGTGACTTATTTGTATAATACTCTGCACTATTATGAAATGCACCTGAGAAATCGCGAAAGTCTCAAACGAAAACTTGTCCATGCAATCATTGGGTCGCTCAAGGATAACCGACCACAGGGCTGGTGTCTAAGTGACACTTACCTGAAAAATGCTATGAATGCACGAGAAGACAATCCCTGGGTCCCAGACGACTCTTATTACTGCAAACTGATTGGCAGACTAGTAGATAATATCCTTTTTATTGTGATTTTCCAGACTCTATTGAAATAACTATATGTTGATTTGTGTGAACATATATTATCATTTTAAATATTCCAAAGTTTTTATATATTCTAAGACTTCAGTTTTTTAGAACATTTTATTTTATAATTTTTACTTCTGTAAAGGTTTTGAAATCTTAAATTAGCAGCATAATGCCAGATAGGCAGAAATTTACTCCATTAAAACTTTTATTTTAAAAAAAAAAAAACCTTAGAGAAGAGATTTGTTTTAAAGAAAAACATTCCTAAATAAATATACTATATATTATAGTACATGCATTTGTTCTATGGAGAACATAGAACTTTGTTGCTTTAAATAAATCCCTGAATAATTTTTAAAACATTTAGTGAAAAAGATTCTATATTGGTGTTTTCTTTCTCTACTTCTGTTTTAAATTGTTAACCCACTATACTTAATATGGCTATATACTATGCCACTCTATTTACTAAATAGAGCAGTTTTACAAAAATAGGCCTGGTTTAATTTTCCTACAGGAATTACTTCCGGAAGTAAAAGAGCTACTCATGAGAAAGTAATGTTCTTATTAACTTTCCTACAACTATTAAAAGAAAGTAGGTTGATAAAGCCTTTGGATACCTTAGTTGCTTCCACAGCCGTCATGTCACGGTAATAAGAACCTACTTATATATATAAGACTAATCATTGATACCTGTGGTTGAGCACATGGTTGCTATCAACACATGTCAGATTTATTTGTATTCAGTTTGTATGGTTTATCTCTTAAGCCCTCCGATAAATCACTTACTGAGGGCTCATAATCAGATGTATCAAATGAAATGTTTACATGTTGAACCTTTGAAAACTGTAAAGCGCTATGCAAACATGAGCCTTTCATCTCAGAATAATCCACCGGTTATTGCTTTAATCGTCTGCACCAATGGCTGGCAAGTCTCCTGGTCCGTTCCCAAACTGTGACTGGAGGTTCAACGAGTTTCCCAACCCTGCTGCCCACGCACTGCATGTCACTTGTGTGGAGCTCATGGCCTTGGCTGTTTCTGGCCAAGATGTTGGAAATGCTCTTCTGAATGTTGTCCTGAAGAGGTGTGTATCCTGTTTCATGCAATAAGATTCAGTGTTTAAGAGAATGGTATTTTATTTGGAGCTGTGAGACACACCTGTTGGCCCAAGGCTAGGGCACATGGAATAGTGACTACCTTTAGGTTTCAGATCTTGTCTTAGTAATAAAGGTGAAATGGAACAGCCCTGAACAGCCAGAAAACCTGGGTTTGTTCCTACTTCTACTCTTTATTAGCTGTTTGATGTTTAATTTAGGAATAACGTTAGCTTCTCCCTAAAGACAGTCTTTCAAGATTTCTTCTTAAAGGCCAATATAAAGTAGGGGATAATGATTGGACAATAAATATAAATTAGTGAAATAGTCTTTCAGCTCAGCAACCATTGTTTTTTTTTTTTTTTTTTTTTTTTCTTTTTTTTTTTTGTGTAATAAAGTTTTATTAAAGTATAAAGGAGATAGAGAAAGCTTCTGACATAGGCATCAGAAGGGGGCAAAAGAGTACCCCCTTGCTAGTATTAGCAATGGAGTTATATACTCTCCAATGAATCTAAAGAATGTCTGGAGGCTGCAAAGACCTCACCAGACCCACTCCCATAATTTACATTTTAAAATAACAGAGTTGGCCAGAAGGTTTAATCCAAAGACTGTCCTCAGGCAGGATACATCCTTGTAAAGACCAGACCTACTCCCATAATTTACATTTTAAGATAACAGGATTAGCCAGAGGGTTTAATCCAAAGACTGTCCTCAGGAAGGATACATTATTGTTATATAATCCTAAGGAATGTAGAGGAAAAAAAAGTTAAAAAGTTTGTCCTTTCTTCCTCCTTGAATATCCCTGACCTCTCTCTCCTTGGGGACCCCTAGACTTCTTATCAACCTGCCTAGGAAATGACTCATTCCCCCCTTTTCTTTTAGGAGAATTATGTTGCCTAGGGAAAAGGGGCGTTGTTCTCATTCCATAACTGCTTCCGAGCTGACAAGGGGCGTTGTCCCTAAATTGGTGAGGCAACATATTCTCCTAATCCTCATGGTGAGGATGTCTGATCCAGGGGCTCCAAGTAATAGTTGGAGGAGGCTGTGGCACTCATAGGAGCTCAGACAACTATGTAAATTAAAAGCTTTTAGACGGTTAGAAAACCCCATTATACAGTGATAGATGTAAGGCAAAATAGTCATTAAACCAAGTTCAAAATGAAAAGTCACATTATGGCCATGGTTACATCAGTCCATCTTAAGGTTGTTAGATGTCATCAGTTTAAGAAAAGTCATCACATGCGATTGTTGAAAGTATTTGCAGACTTGGAGAAAGTCTTTTCTTTGAAGGGGATATGTCCTCCATGGGACGCCTTTCACGGATGAAGAAGGGAGTGGTCCACAGACCCAGCAGTTAGACTGTGGAATGCAGCATAGGAGTGAGCCCAGGACAGGAAGGCATTGTCTTGAGGATCAAACGGCAGACTCAGGATTTCTGGAGTCAGCAGAAGTAGGCGCACGTAGATTATCAGGCCCATCTGAAACATACAAAGTCGGAGCATAGAAAGTAAAGACATAAAATGCCATCACTTGGTTCTGGTCCGGGTGCCACCTCTTGACTCGAGTGTGATGCACCCATGAATCAATTCCTGGCACTTTGACAGCTGTGGGAGAAGAAAGAATAACCTGATAAGGGCCTTCCCAGAGGGGCTCGAGGGATGAGCCCCCAGATCCCAATGTTTTTATAAGGACCTCAGTTCCTGGCTCAAATAGAGGCTTGCTGGATTCAGAGGCTGGGTCAGGAGTCGTCTCCCGGAGTTCTGTTAATGCCTTGTCTTGAAGGATCCCGGACGAGCCCCCAAGATGAAAGGTTGTTGCTGAACGATTAGACGCGGGATTCTTGGCCTCCGGAGGAGACGAATTCAATCTGGGGCCAGAGACGAGGCTGGATCGCTCAGAGCTTTTGTGTAATAAAGTTTTATTAAAGTATAAAGGAGATAGAGAAAGCTTCTGACATAGGCATCAGAAGGGGGCAAAAGAGTACCCCTCAGCAACCATTGTTAAAGAAGAAAACTGAAAAAATTGAAAAGCCTTACTTAGCATTTATTTATATTTTTACTCACTAAAAATCCATTGTAGTTTTATTGAAGTAGATCAGTTGTCAGCCCCCAAATTATATATCCTTAAAGATCCAGTGTCAACCATATAAAATGTTTTTATAATTTCACCTTTTTGTTCTTTTTCCCAACTAACAGTCAGCCTTTAGTGCCGAGAGAGAACATTACAGCATGGATGAATGCCATTGGATTGATCATCACTGCCCTACCAGTGAGTGAAGAATCATTGTGATTTATACAAGGTCATCATGCAGTTAATGAAATGTTTCATTTTTTTTTCCATGTTATTATTGCTTCTGAAATCTACAGTGCCTCTTTTGCATCAGATCTAAATAAATCTACCTGACTATGGGTCCCTACATCCCTTGGTCCCACTTTCCTATCCAACCTTAGTTTTCCTGATCTATTGGATCTACTTTTGACCCCTTAACATATGTATCTAGATCCTTTCAGTTCAGTTCAGTCTCTCAGTTCAGTTCGGTCGTGTCCAACTCTTTGCGACCCATGGACTTGCAGCATGCCAGGGCTCCCTGTCCATCACCAACTCCCAGAGTAAACCCAAACCCATGTCCAATGAGTCAATGATATCATCCAACCATCTCATCCTGTCGTCCTCTTCTCCTCCTGCCCTCAATCTTTCCCAAAATTAGGGTCTTTTCAAATGAGTCAGTTCGTCCCTTCAGGTGGCCAAAATATTGGAGTTTCAGCTTCAGCATAAGTCCTTCCAATGAACACCCAGGACTGATGTCCTTTAGGATGGACTGGTTGGATCTCCTTGCAGTCCAAGGGACTCTCAAGGGTCTTCTCCAACACCACAGGTCAAATGCATCAATTCTTTGGCGCTCAGTTTTCTTCCTAGTCCAACTCTCACATCCATACATGACTACTGGAAAAGCCATAGCCTTGACTAGACAGACCTTTGTTGACAGAGTAATGTCTCTGCTTTTTAATATCCTGTCTAGGTTGGTCATAACTTTCCTTCCAAGGAGTAAGCGTCTTTTAATTTCATGGCTGCAATCATCATCTGCAGTGATTTTGGAACCCCCAAAATATAAAGTCAGCCACTGTTTCCATTGTTTCTCCATCTATTTGCCATGAGGTGGTAGGACCAGATGCCATGATCTTTGTTTTCTGAATGTTGACCTTTAAGCCAACTTTTTCACTCTCCTCTTTCACTTTTATCAAGAGGTTCTTAGTTCTTCTTCACTTTCTGCCATAAGGGTGGTGTCATCTGCATATCTGAAGTTATTGATTCCATCTTGGGCTTCATCCAGCCCAGTGTTCCTCATGATGTTCTCTGCACATAAGTTGAATAAGCATGCTGCTATACAACCTTGACATACTCCTTTTCCTATTTGGAGCCAGTCTGTTGTTCCACGTCCAGTTCTAACTGTTGCTTCCTGACCTGCAGACAGATTTCTCAAGAGGCAGATCAGTTGGTCTGGTATTCCCATCTCTTGAAGAATTTTCTGCAGTTTATTGTGATCCACACAATCAAAGGCTTTAGCATAATCAATAAAGCAGAAATAGATGTTTTTCTGGAACTCTCTTACTTTTCGATGATCCAGTAGATGTTGGCAATTTGATCTCCGGTTCCTCTGCCTTTTCTAAAACCAGCTTGAACAGATGGAAGTTCACGGTTCACGTATTGTTGAAGCCTGGCTTAGAGAACTTTGAGCATTACATGTGAGATGAGTGCAATTGTGCGGTAGTTCGAGCATTCTTTGGCATTGCCTTTCTTTGGGATTAGAATGAAAACTGACCTTTTCCAGTCCTGTGGCCACTGCTGAGTTTTCCAAATTTGCTGGCATATATTGAACGCAGCACTTTCACAGCATCATCTTTTAGGATTTGAAATCGCTCATCTGGTATTCCATCAGCTCCACTAGCTTTGTTCGTAGTGATGCTTCCTGAGGCCCACTTGACTTCCCATTCCAGGATATCTGGCTCTAGGTGAGTGATCACACCATCGTGATTATCTGGGTCGTGAAGATCTTTTTTGTACAGTTCTTCTGTGTTTTCTTACCACCTCTTCTTAATATCTCCTGCTTCTGTTAGGTCCATACCATTTCTGTCCTTTATTGAGCTCATCTTTGCATGAAATGTTCCCTTGGTATCTCTAATTTATCCTTTATTCCTGCAAATGATGCTTGTTGATACGTTTTTCAGGTACTTCTGCCATATAAGAGAATATACCAGGACACTTTTCCTCTGTTACCTTCCCTAAAGCCTACTCATTCTTTGCTAACTTAGGGCTTGCTTTTTCAGTTCTGAAGCTTTTTATAACTTCTCCACTCATGGGATGACTCCCTCTGTGACCTCCACACATGTCTAGTTAGCACCACACAGACGTCTGACATCTTTGAGTGTCAGTAATATTGTCTAAAGCTGTGCTCTCCAAACTTGTTTGATTATGCATCTTTATGAATCACTTTTTCCTTACACTCTTCCAAAATATACATATATACATATTTATGAATTATAAGTGTGTACCAGCATTACCTGTGTAGTAAATACAGGTAAAGTCAATTTACTGTGTAGTAAATATCAGCTATTAAGTTAACTGGACAGACTCATGTCTGGAGCTCTTAACTCACAGACACTTCTGCCCAAGTTGTTATTGACTTAATTTGACTCATTGCGAAGCCACGCAAAGACACAAGCTGGATAATAGAAAACACTGGAGAATGAGAAAGTGCTATTATTTTAGGCTTTTGGAGTAGAATACTGGATATGGAGTGGAATACTAGAGAAATGGTGTTTTTCAACAGGCTTTTCCTTGGTTTTATAGGAGCCGTATTGGATTGTCCTGCACGATCGAATAGTGAGTGTTATCAGCAGCCCCAGCTTGACGTCTGAGACGGAGTGGGTGGGCTATCCTTTCCGCCTCTTCGATTTCACGGCTTGCCATCAGTCCTACTCCGAGATGAGCTGTAGCTACACGTTGGCTCTGGCGCATGCTGTGTGGCACCACTCCAGCATCGGGCAGCTTTCCCTCATTCCCAAGTGTGTATTCTGATTTCCTAACGAGATTCGACTGGCTTTGTTTTTGTTTTTTAATCTCATGTACACCGGGGGTATATATCTGATTCAGTGGAACAGCTTACACAGTAAAAGTCTTAAGTAGTTTCTAGGTATCAGAAAGCCTCCTTTATGTCAGAATTGATTGAAGAAAATTAATTTATATGTATAAGTAATAATCTGGTATTCAGTTTTCCTTTATCATTTCAATGGGCTTAATCAGATGCATGCTTTTTCCAGAATATATGCCAAAATTTGCCTTTTGAACTGCATACCTGATACTGGCCTATCTTCTGATTATTATTTTTGACTGTATAATTGTATTAATTAGATTTAAATTTCTTGAGAATGGCTTTTATATTAGGTTGGTTATTCTCTTTTTATTTCAAATAATTCACATTCCGTCAATTCAGTAACTGTACTATTAGGAACAACTCCTAAATCTGAAGTAAATTATTTAAATAATCAAATGAAAATAAGAGCCAGTGAGAGATATGAGATTAATTAGAAATGTTACCAGAATTAAAATAAACTTTAAAAAAATTATTACAAATTTTGCAAATACTTGGATAGGCTGTATTAACAAAATTCAGACAATTTAACTGATTTCAAGTCACAAGAAATTTTTTTATTTTTATCTTTTAGATTTCTCACTGAAGTACTTCTTCCTATAGTAAAGACTGAATTCCAGTTGCTTTATGTGTACCACCTTGTGGGACCATTTTTACAAAGGTTTCAGCAAGAGAGAACTCGATGTATGATAGAGGTAAAATTTAATCTGGGTTTTCAATGGTAAGATTAAGTTCTAAAAAGTATATTAAGGTTTCTTTCCTAGTGTTTTTCAAACTCTATATCATTACCATTAGTAGGAAAATCAGTTTAGCAGGATCTAAGAGCAATGCTTGAGGCCTTAGCATCCCCGTAACTTAGTATGCCTATAATGAGTTTTGTGGGGGATGTGCTGAACTGGAGATGCAGGGGAAAATACTCATCATCACGGCTGAGAAGAAAGTTAAAGATAGAGAAGTGCATTTGAGCACGTCCACTATAGTACAGAGGAATTCGTTAAAGCCATGGGAATGACTAAAGTTGATCCCCTATAACAAAAGTGTAGAGAAAAGAGAATGCACCAAATGTAGAACTTTGAAGTGTGAGACACCCAATGGAACTTAGAAGGTATAGTATATAAAGGCTCCATGAGACTGCCAAGTATCCCAGAAATTGAGAGATGGTTTCCAGAAAAGGGATTGTCTATCTCTTAATTTTAAATTTTAAATTAGGAAGAGAAAGTGTATTTAATCCCTATTTGGGCTCAGTTGGTAGAACTCTGAATTCCATTATAATTGCAAGCAGTTTCGTATCACCCATGTCCATAGAGGTTTGTGTGATAGTAATACAGTTCCTTAACAAGGATGTTACCCTCTGTTTTGTTCTTGTCATGGAGACCAGCTGCATCATGATTGAACCATTTTTGACCATTTAAATAATTTTATTTGTTAAATAGATTGGTGTGGCATTTTATGACATGTTGCTGAATGTAGACCAGTGTAGTACCCACTTAAACTACATGGATCCCATCTGTGACTTCCTGTATCACATGAAGTATATGTTTACTGGTGACAGTGTAAAAGAGCAAGTAAGTTCACTTTAATTATTTTTCAGTGATGTTTAGTTTTGAAAACTTAAACATGAGGGGACATATGTATACTTATAGTTGACTCACATTGTTATATGGCAGAAGCCAACCCAGTACTGTAAGGCAATCATCCGCCAATTAAAAAACAATAAATACCTATGATAATTTCTCACACTTTTCCCCCTTGATATTTGCAACAAAACATCTGAAAATGACCCGGGGAGTTATAGTAGTAAACCCAGCAGGAAGGAACAGGACAGCCTGGCTACTGCAAACATCAGCGAGTTTGTGTTGCGAGTGAAGCGGAGCCTGGTTTCCCCAGTGATTCGGGGGCACTGCAGTGACTACAAGATTAAAACCAGGAGGGCCAGGAGAATGACTAATGAAGGGTATTTAAAAACCCAGGGTGCTGAACTTGAATTTTTTTAAAGTCCTAGGGAATTAATTATATCGTAACTATTTGGGGGTGGGTGGTTGCCATTTGGAATAGGTATTAAATCTGTTCTGTGTCACTTTAAAAGGCATGCACACTGGTGAAGGTAAGTTGTGACTCAGCATATAAAGAGCCACTCCCGGGGAGGGCTGTCTCCACGTGCAAAGGACCTCCTTAAATACCTCTTTAAATCCTGAGTTTCCTGTCTGTTGGAACCAGAATCTCTGCTCTTTTAGAAGGGTGGAGGGACGGCAAATAGGTGAAGTTAAGTGACCTCCTTTCCACACTTTGATGTCATTTCTCTCCAAAATGGGAAAGGAATATACATTGAAATACGTAAGCGCGGGAATCCTAGTCCGCAGGATTCACTCTTTGAAGCTGGTGACATGGAGTGGGGAGGGTGTTGACTCCTTACACCTCCACAGGGTTGTCGAGTGGAAGCCAATACGGAAATGTTTTCTTTAGCGTATTCCTTATATTTGAGCCTAAAAGACTTTGACACAAGGGAATACAGAAAGGAAGAATTTTTAATAGACTGATCTTTCCTGGTAAGGTCCAAGAACATATAAGTAAAGCTAAGAACGCTATGGAACTGCTTGATGTATTTATTTCTTTAAAGCATTTTAAGTAAGAGTAAGTCTAATATGATTTAGTTTGAATTCCAGGTGTAAATCAAAACCAAAAAAAGTTAACTGTAGAGATAAATGTTTTGAACTTGTTATTCAAAGATCTTTGAAATGTAATGGTGCTTTGTGTAAAGATGGCATTTTAAAAGGATGAGTCCCTTGGTGGATGCGTAGAACCCCCAGTGTAAACTCTACTAGCTTTTGGCAGGAGGATGACTGCTGTTCCTGTCAGCGAGTATGTTTCTGTGAAGTGTATGCATATATAGATAGGTGCACATATGCAAATGTACATGTCTATAATATGTGTGTGAGGGACACACATGCCTTTTTCAGCTAAGGAAGAACTAGTTTTACCTGCTTTTGTTAAAACACAAAACATGAGAGAGACTTATCCACCTGTTCCCTCCCTGGTTTATTGTCTCAGGAAATGTGTAAATCACTTCTTTAAAAGTGGGAAATTGAGCTTCTCTGGTGAAAATATGTTTCATTGTGCTTTTGTGTTTTAGGTAGAAAAGATTATCTGTAACTTAAAACCGGCTTTGAAACTCCGTCTTCGGTTCATCACTCACATCAGCAAGATGGAGCCGGCTGCCGTGCCTCCGCAGACCGTCAGCAGTGGGTCTCCGGCACCTCAGCCGGCTCAGGGGCCAGCGTCTCTGCCAGTGACTCAGTGAAGCCAGAGTGTGCTGTGCCGAAAGCAGGCCTGAGTCTATTAAATCTGAACCTGAGAGTGCTGCATTGTGGTGGAGCAGAGCCAGCGGTGTTCAGGTTGTTTTATTTTGATTCATATGGTGAATCTGTTGGCTTCCAGCCCCTGTCTTTCTCTTGCTTTGTCTCTAAGAGATTAAGTAAACTACACGTCGTCCATATCCGCAACCAGGTATTAGAGCTACCTAGGAACATTGTCATATCTGATGATATGACCTTTACCAGGCACTCTCGGTCTTTCCTGTTTTGGCCACTGCTTTTTTGTTTTTATTTTTTAGTATTAATAACTTATTCAGTCTTCAAATCCAGTTTTAAAGGCACCACACATGTAAAATAGTTATTACAAATGCTTTTATACATAAATCTCTTTTGGTATATCTTTGCAACAAGAGATTTTTGTCAAGTAAAGGACTCTAGATTTCATTGCATTACAGGAGCAAACACAGTTTCATATTCTTTTTAAAATGGCTTAAACTTTTTATCACAGATTTCCAAGTAAACAGGCTAATATTTCTATTGAAGTAGATTGGCAAGTTTTTGCCTTTGCTGTGGACTTGAACTTACTGTATGAAATGAGTTGGAAGCCATGTAAGAAGATAACGTAACTTAAGAAAATCATGCTTAAATGGTGATTCTTCAATCCCTGGTTTTAAAAATCAGTTACTTTTCCAGGTTGACACACTTACCTGGCAGATGATGTGATTCTTTGAATTTTTATAGTCTTAAATTTTTAAAATATTTATATTTTTAAATATCATATACATTTTGGTTCTTTAGAGTTTATTAGATTTTGAGAGACATACTGTAATTTTGTGGGTGTGGCATTAAGATTGTAAAAGACTTGGAAAATAATTAATAAAATCTGTTGAACGAATAAACTGTCTGATTTATTACTCAGTTTGAATGAGCGTCTGCTGGGTGCCAGGCAATGTACTGGCTGGATTAGAACAGAGAACTGAGCCACCTCCATGGATTGTACACTATAGTCAATGACTGACATTAACCTAGGAATTAAGAGGTACTGATTTTTTTAAAAAAAGAATTAGTGAAGTTTAACTGCGAATTTCTATTTCCAAATCATTCCTCCTAGGCTTTTGTCTTCATGATTCATATTTTTATAATCACTAGATCTTTTATTTGCCATGCAAGGACAGCTTAAAATTTGTATAATGGTATAAATAATTTTTCTAAGCTAATGATATTCTTAAAATTCTCCAGCAGTTTTATACTAGAAATGATTTCAAGTATTACCCTTAACCTAGTCTCGGTATATTCTTGTTGCCTCAAGGAATACATTGCTTTGAGATCCCAGAATAGAAATAATTGTAACAATAGTATTTTACAAATAGAATAAAGAGAAAAATTCAGTGTCAGTTTCTTAAGGACATACACATTCCAGTTAATTTTATTAAAAATTCAGTTTTTCCTCTCTCGTTTTAAAAAAGGGAATATGATTTCCCCAAATAGGCTTTTAAGAGGTTAGTATTAATCAGAGGCATTAATAGAAGACAGAAGCTTAATTTGTGTTTAGAATACAGCTGAGAAAAAAATACTTACATCCATTACATCCTAAAATTTTTCTTTTTGAAAACTAATAATAACTTGAGCGTGGCTGTGTTCACTAGGCATTTCTGCAATGGTGGAAACAGTCATGTCTGTGCTGGGCAGTTCAATAGTTAGTAGCTCCATGTGTTTGTTGAGCACTCACAGTGTGCAACTGAATATTTTATTAAACTTTAATTAATTTAACTGCCTGTGACTGCTGTACTGGATAATGTTATCTAGAGTAAGATCCATTATAGTTGCTCTTATCTAAAAGTTATTCAGTAAAACACTTATTCTACAAAGTCCATAATGTCAACAGGTTTAAAATTCTGTATTGCAGGTAGACAATCAGATGATAGAGGTTCTTTAACACATAAAGCTGTTATAACAAGAGTAACAAAAGGGAGGGGATATATGGATACCTATGGGTGATTCATGTTGAAGTTTGACAGGAAACAGCAAAATTCTGTAAAGCAATTTTCCTTCAATAAAAAAATAAATTAATTTTTTTAAAAAAAGAATAATAGTAAAAATTCTTTTGTGGAGCCTGCTTCATTACAGACTCCACTTTGAGTTCCATGTAAGTTGGAGGAAAGGGAGAGTTCACGTCCCTTGTTTTGATTCTAGTTTATTTTCACTTACTTTCCCACTTCCTTCACTATATAATAGAGCTGAGATGAGTTTTTAGGATGTTCAGGAGTTCAACCAGTGAACACACTCTTAACTGCAATGAGTAAAAGGTGAGACATTTGGAAACTTGGGAAAGTGTTAGTTGCTCAGTAGTGTCTGACTGTTTGGGACCCCTTGGACTGTAGCCTGCCAGGCTTCTCTATCCATGGAACTCTCCAGGCAAGAATTCTGGAGTGGGTTGTCATTCCCTTCTCCAGGGGCTCTTCCTGACCCAGGGATCAAAGCCAGGTCTCCTGTATTGCAGGCCGATTCTTTACCAAGTGAAATAAGTGAAAGGTGGGGCATTTGGAAGCCACAGATAATTTTCAGTTAAATTGCAACCTAAATTAGCATATCTTAGAAACAAAAATGGAGAAGTCTATGGAAACCCATTCCAGTACTCTTGCCTGGAAAATCCCATGGACAGAGGAGCCTGGTAGGCTGCAGTCCCTGGGGTCGCTGCGAGTCGGACACAACTGAGCCAACTTCGCTTTCACTTCTCACTTTCATGCATTGGAGAAGGAAACGGCAACCCACTCCAGTGTTCCTGCCTGGAGAATCCCAGGGTCGGGGGAGCCTGGTGGGCTGCCGTCTATGGGGTCGCACAGAGTCGGACACGACTGAAGTGACTTAGCAGCAGCAGAAACAAAAATAGTTGATTTCTCTGTTTCCCAAAGACTGTCTGAATAGCTGCCATGCTTAACATGATATTAACCAAGATCATACTTGAGGTTTAAAAAAAGTGGAACATGGTCATCTAATGTCAGTGAACTTAGAGATTGCTCAAACCTTATAATAATCCATTTTACAGATGAGGGAACCAGAGCAAAAGAGTTAAAATAACTTAACCAAGGTCTTACAGTGTTTTGGGGATAATAATTTCAATGTGGTTTTTAAAGTATTTATGGTAGTCTTAAGCAGGGTGTGTGTGTGTGTCAGTGTCTGTGTGTGTGTGTTGTGTGTATTTAGAAACTTGTATAGGGATGACAGAATCTTATAAAGAGATAGAGAAGAGCAGTTTCTAGGCATCACAGCTTTGAACAACATAGAAATATGGTCCTTTTTCAGGTTGGGTAGCTTTATCTCCTGATATCAGGAGTCCCACTATACATGTGGGGGCTGATAAAAGTGTTTATCTTTAATGCCAGCAAATTTTTATTTGGAAATGAATGTATGTTTCTCTAAGGATAAGTCTTTTGCCAAAATGGGAATATAAACTTTTTAATTTCACAAAAGTTAGCATTTCCATATCTTGAATTTCACACCAGGAGGGAACTGATACAGTTTATACTAATTGTACTAATATTAACCAAGGCAAAAGATTTTCCTGAAAGACCAAATCTTTGGGACAATAACTAACTTTAAGCTATTAGATTTGCTAATTATGTCATTTAGCTGTGAGATTTTCTTATATGATGATTCCACGTTTACTTCGGTGGTCTAAGGTAATCAATAGGTTTATGGTTGCCCTCTCGAGCAACCCCAAAGCAAGCCATAGTTATTGCTACTGTTGTGTTCACTGTTCGAGTCACTTCTTCTGGTGTCTTCCCCAGAGATGGATTCACTTCCATTATATCTAATCCTGAGAGTAACCCTACAACAACAAATGGAAATAATGTAATTTATTAAATAGCTGATATTTGTAATTTAGTACAGACTGACTTGAAATATTGTCCAGGAGTACAACTGAAAACATTTCAGTCATTGTATTATGCAGTGGGCATTCAGGAAGTGTCATGTTGGGGCTTTGTTTTCAGGTCAGGGAGGTATAAATATATATTGGCCAGGTGTACACTTTCTCTTGTGTTCACTCAGATTTTTACTCACCTGTTTTGTAAATTTCTTCTGTGATGTAGAGACCTTCTCTGTAAGACAGACCTCCCTGGACTGGTGTGCCAGTAGCTGGCGTGAAAGACGGGTCCAGTCCATCAACATCAAAACTCAGATGAATTGGCCTTTTCTTTCTTTTAAAAGGTGGGAAAGGAATTCAAGTTGGTGGTTTAATATTTAATAGAAAAATACAGTTCTTACTTTGTTTTACAAAAAGTAACAACCCATGAACTTTCATGATTGTACTTGCAGGCTTTGTTAATAACTTACGTTGACTAGTGTTTATAGCAAGTCCTTTTAATATTTATGTTACACACACACACACACACACACACACACACACACACAGAGGCATCCTACCTTCCTAGTAGATAGCTGAATGTTTCTTCCATCACCTTGCCAATTCCCAGTTTATCCACTTCAGTCATTGAAAAGTATTTAATTCCCAGAGTTTTCAAAATATAGCTATGAAAGAGAAGATATTGAGATAATCTACAGTTTATAAGGAGGCTGACCCTTTTGTTTCCTTTTAGAGAAAAGATCAATGTGGTAAAGATTCAAAAATTATTTAAGGGGCTTCCCTGGTGGTCCACTGGTTGATAATCCACTTTGCAATGCAACGGACATGGGTTCGATCCCTGGTCTGGAAAGATACCACGTGCTGCACAGCAGCTAAGCTGGTGTGGCGCAACTCCGGATCCAGCGTTCCAGAGCCCGTGAGCCACGGCTGCTGAGGTCTCACACCGCGACTGCTGAAGTCCCCATGCTGGAGGCCCATGCTCCACACCAGTGGAAACCACCACACTGAGAAGCCCAAGCGCCACAACAAAGGCTCGTCGCAGCTAGAGAAAGGCCATGTGCAGCAACGAAGACTCAACATAGCCCAAACATAAATCTTTAAACAAATATATTTAAGTTTGGTGAACTGTATGTATATATCAATAATTTTTAAACAGCAAGTCAAGGTAAAAATCACCTACCTACATACATAGATATCTGTGTTGTTGCTGTGTAGTTCGTAAGTCTTGTCTGACTCTTTGCAACCCTACGAACTGTAGCCCACCTGACTCCTCTGTCCATGGGATCTCCCAGGCAAGAATACTGCAGCAGGTTGCCATTTCCTTCTCCAGGGGATCTTCCCAACCCAGGAATCAAACCCACGTCTTCTACACTGGCAGGCAGATTGTTTACCGCTGAGCCACCCAGGAAGCTCATATGTGTATATGTGTGTGTATATAGATACAGATCTGGATACAGACAGGCTTCCTAGGTGGCTCAGCAATAAAGAGTCCACCTGTCAATGCAGGAGACATGAGAGACATGGGTTCGATCCATGGGATGGAAGGATCCCCTGGAGGAGGGTATGGCAACCCACTCCAGTATTCTTGCCTGGAGAATCCCATAGAAAGAGAAGCCTGGCGGGCTACAGTCCATGGGGTTTCAAAGAGTCAGACATGACCGAAGTGACTTAGCATGCACTTAGATACAGATATAGATATATGGGGCCTCCTAGGTGGTGCTAGTGGTAAAGAATCTGCCTGCCAATGCAGGAGACTTAAGAGGCTATATTCTCTTATCTCTATCCCTGGGTGGGGAAGATCCCCTGGAGGAGGAAATGGGAACCCACTCCAGTATTCTTGCTAGGAGAATCCCATGAACAGAGGAGCCTGGCAGGCTACAGTCCATGGGGTTGCAAAGAGTCGGGCACAACTGAGCGTCTGAGCACACACGTATAGATTTATAGACTTGGTGTTGAAAATAATTTTTTCTCATTGACTTGACCAGCACGCCTAACATGACAAAGGACAAAAAGGAAGGTAAACCACATCAAGGACACATCAAGGAATAAACTTACTGTTCCGCAGGGTCCACATCTCTCAGACCAATATACACAATGTCTTTGGCAGATATGCAGGGAGTCACCCAGTAGAATCCTGGGACCTCGGGCATCTAGAATTGCAATGGTTCCATTGGGTTATATATGCTTCTCTTGAGCAATCTTACATTGAAAGTTAAGGACACATGTTAGATTGCATGTATCTTATATTCAGAACATAAAGTTCAAGGAAATCATTAAAATATAGAACAAAACTAGGAAGAGAACGTCTGTCTCCCTGTACTACCCTTGGTTGCTTTGGCCTTACCCAGCCTCGCCTGGTACCCCAGACCTAACCTGAACCATTTGTCAGCATTTACCTGCTCTACACTGCATTTCCACTGAGCCCTGTTCTCCTGAAACTCTTCTATAAAGAAATCAGTGTGCTTTTGTAGCTTCCTTTTTTTCTTCTCTTTTTCAAAACAATTTATCCAGAGGATGGTTTAGAGTGGCTGATAAAAATTTTCAATCAGACCTTTGGTTTGACTGCGTCTTCAAATGTCCCAGAGCCTAGCTTGGCTGTCTTATGAGCTAACAACACATCTGTAGGTGTATAAACCAATCATGTTGGTCAACTGTTTGGAAAATATTGCTGCTGACATTTAACATAAGAAGGTTTGCATCCCCAAGTATCATCACATTGTCCAATTTACTACAGTTGTATCAATAAAAATTGTTTTATTGGTAGCATATCAATAAAAATTATGAACCACAATGTTAAATCTTATTCTGAAATTTCATCTTACATTTTTTAGAAAAGAAGTTTCCAGGGAACAAGGAGATAGTTCTCCCTCTTGTGATTTAGACGGGTGCTTCTCATAGTAAAGATGTTAAATAATAAGCCATCATAATCTGCATTTAAAATCTCCATGTTTGAAAAGGCCCTGTGTTGTGAGGGGACACTTGGTTAGAATGAGAGGCTGTGGGGCGTGTAAGCAAAAGAGGCGGCAGCGGGAGCAGAGTTATGGTCCTTGCCTGTCTCCACATTTGGTGTGTGTGTTAACCTCTGACCCTTTGCTCACTTGGTCATAAAGGATTCCTCTCTGTCCCACCTACTAAGAATCAAAAGGATGGGGGCGCCGAGGACTGGGGGCTTTTGGCCACCCAGCTAGGAGCAAGCACACCGTCGGCAGCCTCCTTCCCTCCGCAGTCACCTGCTGGTCTGCCTTGCCCCCTGACCTCGTGCTGCGGAGGCCTGCCTGCCCTTTCGAGAAGGATCATGTGTCTGAAACAGCAGGCTGTGCCCCAAACCCTGTCCCCTCTGTCACCAACCCTTAGAACGTCTTCACTTATCTTCATCTCTCTAAACCTAGAGATGTAAGGGGCCAAATCTCACGCTCGGGTGACTGTAGGAGCAGAAATAGCACCCATGGAAGAAGTCTGGAGAGCACCGTGGTCCTGAGAACGCTGGCCTTGCCAGGAATTCATATGACCTTAGGGGGAGACTCAACTGTAAGCAGCCATATTCTCCACTTAGTAGTGGAGAATTGTGTTCTACCTTTCTGAGACCAGAGAACCTATAAACCATTTGGAATTCTGAGGAAGAAAAAAAAAATAATCAAAAGGGAAGCTACACCCCTAGTCAGTTTGCAAACTATTGAAAATGTAGAGAGAGAGTCTCACTACCTCTGTCCACCTCCCCCCATTGCTTATTGGCTGCTGAGAAAATGGTTTGAAAATTAATCAAGAATAAAATGGCACAAGGGTTCTCACTTTCCTTCTGGCTCCTGAGCTTCTGTTAGAGATAACTCTTTTGTAACAGAACACCAACCAGCTGCTTACCTTTTCCTTTAGTTCCTTCAGAAGGAAAGACACAGGTTGTCCATGCAAGTTCCCCGTTGTAGTTGTCAGCGGAGTGTTGATGTCAGTGTGAGCATCCACCCAAATAACACAGAGATCTGGGTGGACCCTGGCATGGCCAGAGATGCTGCCGATCGCCATACTTTAAAGGAAAAGAAGTTCATCTGAACATCAGGTTTGCAGTATCTACATATATCATTTACGTAGTATTCTTGCCTGATTTTCCTTTAAGTCAAAGTGGCTAATATTTCTGAGAGATTTTAAACTGAAGATGCCAATTAAACAATTGCAACACTAGAGAAAGTATACCTAACACAATATTTACTAACAAGTTATATTTATTCACTGTAACGGCATTACTAAAAAAAAGTTTTGCTTTTCTTCAAAACCACCTTCTAATAAAATTGCAAATTCTAGTTTAACTAAAAATTAAATGTGTGAAAAGACTGTAGCCACACAAGAAGTTTTTTAGCATGAGATATCACTCCGTTCTCAGGGTTAAAACAGGCTCATTTTCTGTACTCTCAATCTCTCTTGGAAAATACTTAATTCTCCCAAGTGAATTATGACAGAGTCTTCCCATTTTTCTTAAAATCCAATTCTTTTACAATTGGGGAACATCACTCAAACCCCTGACATCCACTTCAGCCAGTGTATCCGGGGAGCTTACTCTATTCAACATTGGACCTTTCTAGTCTCCTGCTACGTAGTTAAGGACTCACTCTTAGCCAGGTCCAGAACCCTTGAAATTCATCTCAAACACTCCCAGCTCTAGAAAACTTGCCGGAATGGCAAAGCTAAGTAATATCTTGCACAACAGTTAAAAGACCAGGATTTGCCATACAATGTCTGCATTCTCCCCCTTATGAAAGGTCAGGAACCCTGCAGAGAACCATGAACTCTCAGAAGCAGTCCTTGCTTGACGTTCAGGCACTGTTGATTCAGCATGCTGTTTCTCTCTCCCTTCACGTTTCTTTTTCTTTGTCCATGTGCCACTCTTAAAATTCCCACTTACAAATTTTTTTATTTAAAAAAGAGAGCTCCAGTTTCTCAACGTGAAGTTTTGTCACAGAAGTCCTGAAAACACTTTGGCTTTCAAGGAAAATATGGAGGGGGCTGAAGTAATTAACTCATTGTAATCTTTGTACTTTTGATCTAATCATACTTCTGATTACATGTCCTGCGACCTTGAGAGTAAACATGGGAAGACACGTGCAAACATCTTTGCCGCATTATTCATAATGGTGAAATTTGAAAATAACCTGAATATCTGACAAATGAATATATATATGTATATATATATATATATATATATATAGAGAGAGAGAGAGAGAGAGAGAGAGAGAGAGAGATCATACCTAGATGAAATATCAAGCAACAGTAAAAATTATGCTCATATGTATTATGAGGTGTTAATAACATAAGGAATCTGTAGTGTAGATGAAGAACAAAACAGGATAACACATACAATTGTTAAAATTATATACAAGGAAAAAATTATGGCAGGAAGGAAATGTAACAGATTTTCAAAATTCTAGTAGAAATGGATTTTAGAGAACTACAATTGCCACTATTTTTTTCTTTTACATATGCATGTATGTTTCAAAAATTCGATAATTATTACTTTGATAGTGGGAAACACATGCTTTAATTGTTGACATAAATAAGTTATTTCTATTATCACTAATCAAGTACAATAGGCTATTAATTTCCTCAGTGCTTATTTATTTAGGAATGTAAGCTTGACTATTTTGCTGAAATTCATTCACATACCATGTATTTTCTGCTGTCATAGAGAAAGGTCATGCAAGACTTCAAATAGAGGGAAGTTTTTTTTCCAAAATAAAGTAGTAATCAATAAAATTAAAAGAAACAAGGCAGAAAATGTGGTGTAAAATATTGATCAATACTTTCCTTTCCTATTTTCTCTCTTCTCACGGTTTTGGTTATACTTCCTCCACTGTATTTATACCAGATTCCCATAGAGATAAGCATTAAAAAAAAGACCTGTGGTCTCCGCCCAGGACAAGGCTAATCCTTCCAGTCTTCTTGACTTCCGCCACCACATCAGCCAGCTTTTTATTTGCTTTTCCCACACACCTTGGATTCTTCACGATTTGAAAGGGACTGTCATCAGGGTCATCGGCAAAGGACAGGTCCCCATAATCTTTCACATCATACTCTATAATTAAAAGTTTTAGGTTACTAAAGGAGATTACAAAACAGACTGTAGGATGATTCCAATTTTACCAAATAGGTGTATTTGCAAAAAAAAGAAAAGAAAAGAACCCGGAATGGCTGTAAAAACTCGTGAAAGTAAAAACTATGTCCTCTATTACCTGATATCATCATCCCAACTTCACTGCACACCAGTGCCTGCTGTATACTGGGCTCTACACTGCTGCCTGCTATATACTGGGTTCTCTGCAAATTCTTCTTGACTCAAGTCAGTTAGGCTAGACATGAAAGTGTAACAGTGATAAGCAGGCTTGGGCTTGATGCATGGCGTCACTGTCTTGGGTTCTGTTTGTGTGCTGTTTACTTTTCTATGATAAGCTTGTTTTGTGTAGGTAACAAAAAAGCTGTTTTTAAAAAGAAAGTATATTTATACATACATATATATAGGGCTTCCTAGGTGGCTCAGTGGTAAAACATCCACCTGCCAAGTAGAAGACCTGGGTTTGATCCTTGGGTTGGGAAGATCCCCTGGAGAAGGAAATGACAACCGTTTCCAGTATTCTTGCCTGGACAATCACATGGACAGAGGAGCCTGACCAGCTGCAGTCCATGGGGTCACAAAGATTTGGAAACAACTTAGCAACTGAACAGCAACAATATATATTTATGCCCAGAAAAAAAAGACACCGATATTTTCTCAACTTCCTTTCACTACATTAAGAGCCCTTGGATTCATCCCAAGCTGTCACCAACTAAAGCCACTCAGCTTCTTACTCTGCCTGCCCCCTGTATCTGCCACGTATTGAGATTGTCTGAATTAAATAAGAATATATGATTGGCCTAATGCTCCCATGAGGTCAGGAAATAAGGGGTCTATTTTTATCCTTTTTCAATGAAGAAACTGCAGGTAACTCAAAGATTCTAAAGACCTAGGCTCACTTCCTAAAAGGCCCGGCTTAGGCTTCAAGGTACAGGCTTCATGTAAAAGTGTGATATGCACAGTGTTCCGAATTTACCAGTCATGGTATACCGTACTTATCACATGTCCATGTGTATCCATGAATCAGTAGCACCTTCAAGAGATTCAAGCAGATATAAAATGTTGGCCAAACTACGCTTGTTAACTGAGGGATCTAGCTTTCTATTCTCGCTTGGGGTCTTTTTTTTTTTTTTTAACTTTATGGGGTATAATTGTTATTCACTAAAATACACTCATTTTAAATGTACAAGTCAGAAATATCCACAGACTTGCAAGTATAGTGATAGTATCACTTTATTAGTATCACTAATAAAGATTTAGAATATTTTCACTTTCAGAATATTTTATTACTTCCCAAATTCCCTCCTGCCCCTTCCCACAGGCAACTGCTGATCTTTCTCTTGCTACGCTTTTGTCTTTCCTAGAATTTCATATAAATCATACAGTTTGTAGCCTTTTGTGTCTGGCTTCTTTCATTCAGCATGATATCTTTGAGATTCACCCATGTTCTTGCCTGTGTTCCTGTTTATTGTTGAGTATTACCCCCATGGTATAGATGTACCACTTTTTGTTTATCCATTCACCAGTTGATGAGCATTTTATTGTTTCCATTTCCTGACTTTTATAAATAATGCTACTACAAACATTCAAGTAGAAGACTTTGTAGTATATGTTTTAACTTCTCTTGGTCAATCTCTAGGAGAAGATTTGCTGGGTCAAGAGGTAAATGCATCTTTATTTAAGAAACTGCCAAACTGCTTTCCAAAGTGGCTGTGTATTTATGCATTCCCACCAGAAATACATGAGAGTTCTGATTGGTCCATATCCTCCCCAACATTTCATCAGGGTTTTGCATATAAAGATGACGTTTACTTTAGCCCATACTTTTAAAATTATATAACTTTTCATCTGCATACTCATGTGTATATATAGAAGTATATGTATATATGTACACATACTAGGATGTTAATGCAAATACTAGGTACTGTTATTATATAAACATCTTATTCTATTTCTGTTTACAAATAAGGATCCTCTTGTTAGTAATGTACTTTCTGCTGCCCCTGACTTTTCATTTTCAGTTCCCCTGAATCCCCTACCATCCACCCACCCTCTAGTTCTTGCACACACAGATTCTCTAAAAGAGTTGTCTCACTGGAAAGAGAAAATATCTGAATGAGGATATTCATCCAACAGTGTTTACTGAACATTCTCCCCTTCACTACATTTTTTTTAAATAATATGTACCTCTAAGGTTATAGCCAATGCTGCTATAATGTCACTGTCGTATAAATGTCACTCCAGACACACCCTCTTTTAGCGGGAGCCTGGACCTTCCTTCAGAGTAAGAAAGAAATCGAGCTGATCAGCTTTCAACTTAGAAATTACCTTGTTCAAACCAGTGGTTACCAGTGGAGAAAGGGTGGAGGAGGGACAATATAGGAGTAGGGGGTTGAGAGGTACAAACTATTACAAATAAAATAAAGCTACAAGGATATATTGTACAACACAGGAAATACAGCCAACATTTTACAATAACCGTAAATGGAGTATAACCTTTAAAATTATGAATCACTATGTTGTATAAATATGTAACATATAATATTGTACATCAACTATACTTTAATAAAAAATTGATTAAGTAAACAGTTACCTAGTTCTTTAAGTTTCTCAAGCAGACCAGCCTTTCTCAGTACTGTAGGGCCTTCTTCCACTCCCCCTCGTGGCTGAACAATGAAAACAGAGTAATTCAGATATTATCATATCATCAAACCCCCACAATAGAAACCTTGTTCATTAATCAGTTGAAGAGTAACTATCATTTTTTGAGTACCTCCAGGGTCAGGAATTTACATGATCTCACTGTCATCACAGAGAGGTAGATTGAATTACTCCTATGTTGAGTATGAAGATATAGAATCAGAAAGGTTATATAACTTTCCTACAGGCACACAGCGAAAGTGGCAGAGCCTTAGTTCACATCCAGGTGGTTTGGATCCCCAAACTTGCAGCTTCTCTTCTCCATCACACTGTGTTACCAACACAGTGGACATGTTTTGTACAAAAGCACTCTGAGAGAGATACAATGATCCAAAGGAGAGGGCTTTTGTCTTTGAGTGACTCACAAGTGAGGAGGGGATTTGGATATTAATAATCCCAATTATAATACTTAGAGATTTGCGTCAACACAGTTACTAGGTATTGTAACCACAAAAACAGGATGTTCCTAACCCTGTCACGGGTGGACAAGTTTCAGAGGAGTCTGCAGGGAACAGGCTGACATTTCTGCTGAGTCTTGCAACATGAATAGGTGATTCAGGAAAATGGATGGGGTGATGAAGAAACTTTGCAAACCGGGAGAGCAGCTTGAGTCAAAACATAAGGTGAAAAAAAAGAGTGTGACATCAGACAGACCTACGTGCAGGTCCGCATGGTAGTAAGTTAGGGCTCTTGTGGAGAAAGGAGGCAGCAGGGAGAATCATCACTTGGGAGATGAACTCACAAAGACCAACCCAGTGAGTGTTTCAAGTTTTGACCTGTTTAAGCATGGTTGGCACAATTCTACCTTTGCTCTTTTTACATCGGGGAAGCTAGCACACTTCTTCCTTGCAGTAAGTCTTCTCCAACCTCCTGGCAGATAAGCCATCTAAAGAAACAGTTCTTCAATGTGTTTCTCTGATTCCAATTTCCAACAAGGCTTTTCAATAGAGAAAGTTACTCTGCGATGTTAGGTGGGAGTGAAAAAGTGAAAGTGTTAGTCACTCAGTCATGTCCAACACTTTGCGACCTCATGGACTACAGCCCACCAGGCTCCTCTGTCCATGAAATTCTCCAGGCAAGAATCCTGGAGAGGGGGTTGTCCTTCTGGATTTCCTTCTCCAGGGGATCTTCCCAAACCAGCGAACGAGCCCTTGTCTCTTAGGTCTCCTGCACTCACCACTAGTGCCACTGGGAATCCTGCTGGCAGGTGGGGAGATGTGCAGAAAGACACCGTCCATCCTTAGGGTTGCACTGTGGCACCAAACTAAGCGGAAATTCTTCCCGCTCAAATTACCAGATGACTTGCCCTGACTACCAGGCAAATCCTCCATGTTAAATTCCTGTCCCTGGAAGCAAGGGACTCCACCCAACACCATGCTTAGCCAGACACGTTTGCTCCTTCACTTCACTGCCTTTTTTTATGACTTCCGCCCCTAACCCCTCAACAAGTAGATACAATTTCTCCTTCTTTAAACTCCAATAGAGTGCCACTTGGCTGAAATTTTGCCTTGATTTTGAGTTATTTGCCATTGTTTTCTCTCCCTTATTAGATTTCTGTCCAATCTTCTCTACACTTCCAGCACTGTATTTTTTAGGATAGAGCTGACACTTAGTAGATGTTCAAAAACTGTCAATTTGATAAAACTCCCTGACCTTTGCCCTCTCCCTTTCAAACTTTGGAACAAATTTTAAACACTCCTGACAAATGAACTTATTTACAAAACAAAAATAGGCTGACCAACATAGAAAGCAAACTTATGGCTACCAAAGGGGAGATGGAGATGAGGGGATAAATTAGGAGTTTGGGATTAAAATATGCACACTATTATATATAAATAGATAACTAAAGAGGGCCTACTGTAAAGCACAGAGAATAATATTCAATATCTTGTAATAACCTTCAATGGAAAAGAATTAAAATTTTATATATATATGTAATTAAATCATTTTGCTGTACATTCAAAACTAAAACATTGTAAATCAACTATATTTCAATAAAAATTTCAAAAATAAAACCATTGTGAACTTTCAGAATTATTAAAAAAATAAAAAGAAGAAATCTTATACCCCTTAACTGATACTAAAATTCCTCCTCCGGATCTGTATTGGATTGACCAGGACGCCCTCCCCTCCCCCAGCTGCTCAAGTGCCTTACATAAAGTGACAGTAAAGACATTCCCACAGATATGGAGGGCTGGCTGTATATTTACAATAACACAGTTGTTCAGCTTCCCAGACTGACACTTTTTAGCTTTTATTTTCCATCTGATTTAAAATGCTTCTCATGTTCTGACTTTTCTCATTGTTCTTTGTTAGCGCTACTGACTTTGAAGCTAGGCTCCAATCCCTAATTGACCACAACTCCAAGGATCCACTGTACAACGAAAGATGTAACAGCGACGGTCAGGAGCACAGGCTTTGGTGTCAGTGTCTGGAATTACAGTCAAAGCGGTGTGACCTTAAACAAATTACCATAGCCCTCTGAGCCCTAGCTAACACAACAGGAAAATAGATAGAATACCTACTTCATTTTTGGTCACCACCCCTGCCCCTCAACCACCGCCCTGCAAGGGCATGGGGCTGAGGATGGAGTTCTTTCTCAGACTCAACCTTCTAGTCATCTGCCCTTTAATCCTCTCCTTTGCTTGTTTATCCAAATTTTACATCCTTTGGCTGCGGACAGAAATTTATATGTTGGCTGATTTTTCCCTTCTATGCTATGGCTTAGAGTAGAAAACTCTCTCCCTGAGTTCTTACTGTTGTAAGACAATATAAGCTTCATTCTCGTGTGTGTACGGGTTGGCAGTGTCTTACTCTTTGCATGGCGCCATGTTTTAATAAGGAGCGGCTATAGAGGCAGGAGGAATTATGGAGAACAGAAAAGGCACCAGGCTATGTTTCAAAATGTTATCCCCTAGAGGGGCTGTTATCATCAGCATGTGGCCTTCTGCTGGGGCCCAGGGATCAGAGCATGTTCAAGCCATTTCCTCCCTCCCTCTCCTTTTCTTTCTTCCTTTCTCCCTCCCTCCCCTCTTTTCTTCTTCTTTTTTAAATCAGTTATTTCACTGTGATCTTTGTTAGAACCTGTCAGAATAGGTGAGCACATTGTGGAGTTTGCAATTAAGCCCAGCATTACAAGTTAACACCTCTTTTTCAGCAAAACCTCCCTGTGTTTTGGGAGAGAACTTTGAAAGTTTTCCAGGGGAAGTGAAGCAGGTTTCACTGACGTTTCAAATGCAGTTCGCACCTCTAACCTCTGACCTGTCCCAATTTGTTTTGTAATAAAAAAAGTCAGAGTGCAAAGCCAGAGCTCAGAACTGAGAGAAGCAATACACTGCTCAGTTGGGCAAAGAGAAAGTTCTAAGAAATCTGAGAAACTTCATTTAAAACAACCACAACCTCAAAAAAATCTGCATGGTGAGTTTTAATTCACACTTTATCTTATTTGCTTTTGTTTTTATTCTTCCCCCATCCCTTTAGCACAGACACTTGGAGGAGTTGAAGATATCTGTAATCTCATTAGATTTACTAGAATGAGTGTGCCTGGGCAGAAAAAAAAAAAAAAGACAGTATATTTAAGTGTTGCTGGCATGTTTTAGAACTTGGGAATTTGATAAACCCAATAGTCTTTTCAATGTGATCAATCTGCAGGTGGGTTTCCTTTTTTGCTTTTCATTTTTCATCCCTCAAAGAGAGGTACACAAAGAACTCCACCTAGTCCATGAATCAACACTTTTAGAGAATCATTAAAGTGCTAAAATAATATAAATAACTCAAAATATTGATAAATCAATAATATTTAGTTTATTCACATTTTTAAAACTTAAAATTTACCACCCATCTATGAATTTTTCTAGGTAGTAATTACATAACTAAAAAAATATATTTTCTTAAAATTCTATCTCCTTCTACATATACACAGTAACACCAATAGTGATAAGAGCATGGAAATCTAAATGAGTAGCTACAAGGCAGAAATAGTCTATTTCCACTCAAAACTATTTTCTCAAAAAATGAGAAGTTCAGCAGATTTAAATAAAACTGGCTGTGGCTGAGATTAGGTGTTATAGTTACAAATCTAATGTTATAAGTGGATTTGTGACCATAATTATACAATGATGTAAAATGATGAAAAGACTTTAATACAAATTTCAGGTCAGGTTGTATCAGGCAAGCTCGTAACTTTTCTGCTAAACTCCAGTTATTCAAAGCCAGGCTTTTACTCACCTGGCCCTTTGAGAAAGGAGCTCCGATGATCCCTACGGACTGTGGCTTGGAACTCATGCTCCAGCACTGCTCAGCGCGGCACCCGAGGTCTCCAGGTAGTCGTCCCTCTCTGCGACTCTCAATGGCGGAGGGCACATATTTTTTCTATTTATAATTGAGTTGAATCTGTTTACTCTAACAAGGAAGAGTGGCTCCACCTACTGAACCAAAGCAACAGTCAAGTCAAGTCCAGCACATTCATCCTCGGAATAACTTTGAGTCCTCCTGAGTCTAGGTCTCTAATTAATTGAGGATATTCATGTAGCCAGTTCACACCCAGGTCACAAAGCCACCTGGCAATGTTAATCTTTCCTAATTACAACCATGATTTCTTAATCATAGTCATCTTTTCTAATCATAATTAATTATAACCACGGAAGTGCCCTAGTTCTAGCAGCGCAAACTCAGAGCCTGGTACTTACTCTTTCAGGTCTTTGCATCTGCCTGTGTCAAAAAATCGGGGACTGGCAAGATGGTGTCTCACATCTTTTCCAGCCCTACAACCCTGAATTCAGTTTTCACTCTAGGATTAATGGTTAATCCACAAGACACACCTCACACACTACCGGGGTAGGTCTCAGGGAAGGCATACGACTTCCTTTTCTGACTATTAATTAAAGAAAAGATTAATTGCCTGATTAATAACCAGAAGTGTTACCATACTAGTTTTGAAATAGCATATGTCTGTTGTGCTCAGTTGTGTCCAACTTTTTGTGACCCCATGGACTGTAGCCCGCCAGGCTCCTCTGTCCATGCAATTCTCCAGGCAAGGATACTGGAGTGAGCTGCCACTTCCTACTCCAGGGGATCTTCCCGACCCAGGGATCAAACCCTGGTCTCTTGCATCTCCTGCACTGGTAGGTGGATTCTTTGCCACTAGCGCCACCTAGGAAGCCCCATGATATGCATGGGAAAATAACAATTATTGGACTCAACAGCTAAATGAAATATTGATGTAAAAACAGTCATGATTGAATTTTTATCGTGTGCCAGATGCTGTTTCATTTTATATTATCTCATTTGATCCTCGTATGAATTGTATGAGCTGTCTCATCATTATTTTACTGATTAGGGAACTAAAGTTCAGAGAGGTTGCCAAATGGCACACAATGGAAAAGCCATGACTCAGTCATAGCAATTCTGGACCCATCAAACTACCGGACTTTACATTCTAAACACAGATGAGGTGTCAGCTATGCGCGTCAGGCCACTGTGCCCTGGGAATATTATCACAAATGTATGGAATTAGAAGAAATGCACCCCAAGAATTCTTCTAATTTTAAAATGGCACAATTATAATTTTCAAGGAAAATTCATTTAGTAGAGACTAATTTCTTCCTCTTATTGGTAACAGAGAAGGTTGTGGACTATTTAAATTTCATAAGGACAGGAAACTTGTCTGCTGAGACCCTCATGCCTAGAGAAGTGCTGACATGTGATTGGCACTGAATAAATATTTATTGAATATGTAAGTGAGGAAACCAAGGTCTCACAAGGTCAATTTTAAGAGGAATATTTTCCATGATCTTCCTTTTACTTGTGGATTTGCTTGCATATCCTAGATATTTGCTTCTGGGATTTTGTATAGTTAACTATTAACCTCTTACAGAACTAAAGTGGACCTCAAAAGCCTGTTGATGAGGGTGAAAGAGGGGAGTGAGAAAGCTGGCTTAAAACTCAACTATCAAAAAACTAAGATCATTGCATCTGATCCCATCACTTTATGGCAAACAGATGGAGGAAAAGTGGAAATGGTGGCAGATTTTATTTTCTTGAGCTGTAAAATCACTGTGGACAGGGACTGCAGCCATGAAATTAACAGATGCTTCCTCCTTGGAAGGAAAGCTGTGACAAATCTAGATAGTGTATTAAAAAGAAGAGATGTCACTTTGCTGACAAAGATCTGTATAGTCAAAGTTATGGTTTTTTCAGTAGTCATGTATGGATGTGAGAGTCAGACCATAAAGAAGGCTGAGTGCTGAAGAATTGATGATTTCGACTGTGGTGTCGGAGAAGACTCTTGAGAATCCCTTGGACAGCAAGGAGATCAAACCAGTCCATCCTAAAGGAAATCAACCCTGAGTGTTAATTGGAAGGACTGATGCTGAAGCTGAAACTCCAATACTTTGGCCACCTGATGCAAAGAACTGATTTATTGGGAAATACTCTGATGCTGGGAAAGATTGAGGGCAGGAGGAGAAGGGGATGACAGAGGATGAGATGGCTGGATGGCATCACTGACTCAATGGTCATGAGTTTGAGCAAACTCTGGGATATGAAGGACAGGGATGCTTTGGTGTGCTGCAGTCCTTGGGGCCGCAAAGAGTGGGACAACTGAACAACTCTAGCAAAGAGTTAGCAACTGAACAACAACAACCTCTTATGGTTTCATGTTGCAAATAACTTCCTCAGTTCAGTTCAGTTGCTCAGTCATGTCTGACTCTTTGTGACCCCATGAACTGCAACATGCCAGGCCTCCCTGTCCATCACCAACTTCCGGAGTAAACCCAAACTCACGTCCATTGAGTCAGGATGCCATCCAACCATCTCATCCTCTGTCATCCCCTTCTCCTCCTGCCCTTAATCTTTTACAGCATCAGAATATTTCCCAATAAATCAGTTCTTTGCATCAGGTGGCCAAAGTATTGGAGTTTCAGCTTCAGCATCAGTCCTTCCAATGAACACCCAGGACTGATCTCCTTTAGGATGGACTGGTTTGATCTCCTTGCAGTCCAAGGGACTCTCAAGAGTCTTCTCCAACAACACAGTTTAAAAGCATCAATTCTCCGGCCTCAGCTTTCTTGATAGTCCAACTCTCACATCCATACATGACTACTGGAAAAACCATAGCCTTGACTAGACGGACTTTTGTTGGCAAAGTAATGTCTCTGCTTTTTAATATGCTATCTAGGTTGATCATAACTTTCCTTCCAAGGAGCAAGTGTCTTTTAATTTCATGACTGCAATCAACATCTGCAGTGATTTTGGAGCCCAAAAAAATAGTCAGCAACTGTTTCCACTGTTTCTCCATCTATTTGCCATGAAATGATGGGACTGGATGCCATGATCTTGGTTTTATGAATGCTGAGCTTTAAGTCAACTTTTTCACTCTCCTCTTTCACTTTTATCAAGAGGCTCTTTAGTTCTTCACTTTCTGCCATAAGGGTGGTGTCATCTGCATATCTGAGGTTATTGATATTTCTCCTGGCAATCTTGATTCCAGCTTGTGCTTCTTCAAGCCCAGCGTTTCTCATGATGTACTCTGCATAGAAGTTAAATAAGCAGGGTAACAGTATACAGCCTTGACATGCTCCTTTTCCTATATGGAACCAGTGTGTTGTTCCATGTCCAGTTCTAACTGTTGCTTCCTGACCTGCATACAGGTTTCTCAAGAGGCAGATCAGGTGGTCTGGTATTCCCATCTCTTGAAGAATTTTCTGCAGTTTATTGTGATCCACACACTCAAAGGCTTTGGCATAGTCAATAAAGTAGAAATAGATGTTTTTCTGGAACTCTCTTGCTTTTTCAATGATCCAGTGGATGTTGGCAATTTGATCTCTGGTTCCTCTGCCTTTTCTAAAACCAGCTTGAACATCTGGAAGTTCACAGTTAACTTTTCCTAATCTGTAAATAATCTGAGAATTTTATATATATCATCATTTGAGATTCTTATTTTTAAAATAGTCAATTGAAACAATTTTCCCTGGCACTTTGCATTTTGGAAATTTCACTAGTCCTTTCTACTCAAAAATCACAAATACATATTTCTATATTTTCACCTATTTGCTTTAGTTTGTCTTTCATGCTTAGTTCTCTAATCCATTGATACCCATCTTTGTCCATTGTGTAAGTTTTCCAATTCTATTTTCCCCCGTAGAGTCCGTCAGTTTCCTCAATAACATCCATTGAGCAGTCCATCCATTTTGCCTCATGGATTCAAGTAGTATTTCCCTCATGTATCAAGTTCCCCGAAACATACAGGTGTGTCACTGAGCTCTTTCTTCTGATCTATTGGCTTATTTACCCACGGCTACACCAGGTCCACACTGCTTTATTATCATGGCTTTCTGGCATGAAAGTGAAAGTGAAAGTCACTCAGTCGTGTCTGACTCTGCGACCTCATGGACTTCACAGTCCATGGAGTTCTCCAGGCCAGAATACTGGAGTGGGTAGCCTTTCCCTTCTCCAGGGAGCATCCCAACCCAGAGATCAAACCCAGGTCTCCTGCATTGTGGGCAGATTCTTTACCAGCTGAGCCACAAGGGAAGCCCAAGATTACTGGAGTGGGTAGCCTATCCCTTCTCCAGCGGATCTTCCCAACTCAGGAATCAAACCGCGGTCTCCTGCATTGCAGGCGGATTCTCTACCAGCTGAGCTGTTAGAGAAGCTTTAGCAACTGAGCTATGAGCTATTAGGGAAGCTTTATGGTGTATCTTACCATTTTTTGGTCGAGAGTAGCATTTTTCTCTTCTTTTTCAAAACTGATTTAGCTATTTACAGATCTCTATTCTACTACATATTCAGAATAAGTTGTTGGATTTCTTTTAAAAACTTCTGCTAGAATTTTTAGTAACTCTATAAATGAGTTCATAGAGATTTTCTGTCTCTCAAATTTCATTGTGGGTATATTATTTTTATGCCAACATCTGAAGTGTGTCTTTGCAACCCTATGGACTACAGCCCGCCAGGGTCCCCTATCCATGGAATTCTCCAGGCAAGAATACTGAAGTGTGTTGCCATTTCCTTCTCCAGGGGATCTTCCTGACCCAGGGATTGAACTCACATCTCCTGTATTAGCAGGTGGGGCCTTTACCACTGATCCATCAGAGAAATTCTCTCCTAATAATACAAACCTCTTAACTAATATCTCTCCTCCCTCCTTCTCTTCATCTCCCTCTCCACATCTCTCACTCTCTTTCTCTCTTTCTGAGATCTTATCTAGCATATCCCTGAAGATGGGACCACATCTTATTTCATTTTGATCCAGAGCCACTAGAATGAGGTCTGATACATAGGTC